GGTGGGTTATAGGGGGATGCTCCAAGGGTCAGTGTGGACTTGTTGGGCCAAAGGGCTTGTTTCTACACTGTAGGGATTCTATGAAAATACCTGTTCAATTCATCAGCCATCCTTTATTAATTTCCCTGACTCACTTTCCATAACATCAATGGTCATTTTGTTAATTCTTTTTCTTCAATATCTCTATATTTATATCCATAGAATCCCTCCAGTATGAAAACAGGCCCTTCGGCCCAACAAGTCCACACTGAACCTCAGAGCATCCCACCCAGACCCAAGCCTATAACCCACCTAATCTACACATCCCTGAACACTACAGGCAATTTAGCCTGGCCAGTTCACCTAACCTGCACATCTTTGGACTGTGGGAGGAAACCCGAGCACCTGGAGGAAACCCACGCAGACATGGGGAGAACGTGCAAACTCCACACAGACAGTCACCCGAGGGTGGAATTGAACCCAGGTCCTTGGCACTGTGAGGCAGCAGTGCTAACCGCTGAGCCACCGTGCTGCCCCTTCCTATCTTTGTGTATATTTCTAGCTAGCTTTTCCTCATACTCTCATTTTTACTGGCTTATTAATCTTTTAGTTATCTATTTCGTATTTTTTAATATTCCGTCCAATCTTGTGACCTGCTGCCCATCTTTGCACAATTATATGTTTTTTTTTCTGTCAGGGCTGCTATCTCTAACATTTTTAGTTAACCAGGGATGGTGCATCCTCCCCTTAGAGCTTTTATAGAGTCACAGATCATAGAGCTGTACAGCACGGAAACAGACCCTTCGATCCAACTCCTCCATGCCAACCAGATATCCTAAATTAATCTAGTCCCACTTTCCAGCATTTGGCCCAGATCCCTCCAAACACTTCCTATATATATACCCATCCAGATGCCTTTTAAATGTTCTAATCATACCAGATTCCACGACTTGCCCTGGCAGCTCGTTCCATACATGCACCACTCTCTATGTGAAAAAGTTGCCCTTAAGGTCCCTTTTAAATTTTGCCCCTCTCACCTTAAACCTATGCCTTATAGTTTTGGACAACTCCCCCCACCCTAGGGAAAAAAACCTTGCCTGTTTAACCTATCATGCCCCTCATCATTTTATAAACCTCTATAAGGTCACCCCTCAGCCTCTGACACTCCAGGGAAAATAGCCCCGGCTTGTTCAGCCTCTCCCTGTAGCTCAAACCGTCCAACCCTGGCAACATCCTCATAAATCTTTTCTGGACCTCTTCTAGTTTCACAACATCCTTTTTCCTACTCATCAGCTTGTATCTATCTGTGTATCCTGAAATATCCTCTTAAATGTCTGCCCTGTGTCCCTATTGACCTATCGCTTAATCTAATTTCCATTTCACTTTAACTAGCTCATTTTTCATGCTGTCCTAATTGTGCTTAATTCAGTTTAGAATACTAGGTTTGTACCCACTCTACTGATCCTCAACTGAAAGTAAAATTCAATTGTATTATGATCATTGCTACCTAAGGGCACTTACATTATGAAATAATTAATTAATCCTACCTCAGTGCACAATACCAGCTGGAGTAATCCCTCTCACTTGTTGCCTCCAGTATGATCAATTCCAAGAAACTACACTAAAAAATATTTTCTATGAACTCCTCATCCAGGCTACTTTCACCTATCTGACTTTTCCTTTTGATACGTAGATCAAAATTCCTCATGATTATCACCATCACTTTCTGTTAAACTCCAATGATATTTCCTTTTACATTCTATCCAACCCTGCAGGTGACTTTTTGCCTTAAACATTTCCAATCTCTACCGAAACTGTTCGCACATCCTGGTTTCCCAAACTTTGGTCATCTCTCACCTTTGCGCTAATACCATCAATTATTAATGGAGTCATCCCTCCGCCTTTCCTTAGTTCTTCATAGTCGTGTACTCTACAATATTCAGATACAAATCCACGTCATCCTGCAACCATCTCTCTGTGATGGCTACTAGATTTTACTTATTTAATTTCCATTTACTCTACCAATTCATCAGTTTTGTTTTGAATGCTATATACATTCTGATACAGAGCCTTTGGTTGTATTCTTTTATAATTTTTGTAAACTCCAGCCTTATTTGTTGATTTGCTTTTTGATTTAGAGTCATAGAGTCATACAGCATGAATACAGACCCTTTGGTTCAACTAGTCCATGCCAACCATGTTGCCAAACTAAACTAGTCCCACTAGCCTGTATCTGTCCAAACTTTTCGTGTCCATATCCCTGTCCAAATGTCTTTTAAATGTTGTAACTGTACCTGCATCCACCACTTCCTCTGGAAGTTCATTCCACACAGAAACCACTCTCTGTATAAAAAAGTTGCCCTTCATGTCCTTTCTAAAACTTTCTCCTCTCACCTTGAAAATATACCTTCCAGTTTTGAACTCCCTCACCCTAGGGAAAAGACCTTTGCTATTCACCCAATCCATGTCCCTCATGATTTTATAAACGTCTTTAAGGTCACCCCTCAGCCTTCTAAGCTCCAGTGGAAAAAGTTGCAATCTTTTTAACTCAAATCCTCCATTCCTGGCAACATCCTGGTAAATCTTTTCTCTCCAACCCTCTCCAGCTTAATAATATCCTTCCTATAGCAGGGTAACCAAAACTACACACAGTATTCCAGAAGAAGCCTCACCAACATCCTGTACAACCTCAACATGATGTCCCACTCCTGTACTCAAAGGTCTGAGCAATGAAGGCAAGCGTGCTAAACGCCTTCTTAATCACCTTGTTTACATATGACGCAACTTTCAAAGAACTATGTACCTGAACCCTAGATCTCTCTGTTCAACAACACTACCCAGGGCCATACCATGAATTGTATACGTCCTGCCTTTGCATGTTTTACCAATATTTACCAATAGAACTCGCTATCCATCCTGTCACAGTCCTATATCATTTCTCACGAATGCTATGCTCCCTTGCCTTATCTTTACTCTTTGATTCACCACATCTTTGATCCCTTTCCCCCAGGTTCTTACTGATTTATGTACGTCGGAAATAGGAACACAAATAGGATAGTCAGCCCATTGGGTTTGCTTAGTCAGTCAGTGGATCATTGCTGATCCTGTTCTGAATTCCACATTCCCATCTACCCCAATAACTTTCAAGATGGCAGCGAATTAGGGCACCTGGGAGCTCATCCACCCCATCCTTTCCTTTTTTTCTCTTTTGAGTCATTTTCTCTCTCTTCTTTCTTCTTGGCGACGTCTTGAACTCCTAGCCTCAGTGCGAGGCTCCTTTTGGCCCGGCGGATGGTTTCTCGGCCCAGCATGGCAATCTCTTGGCCCGGCGTGGTGATCCCTCGGCCCGTTCTCGGCCTGTCGTGGCGGTTTCGTAGCTCGACACAGTGGTTCCTGGCGGTCTGTCGGCCTGGCACAGTAGCCCTGGTGCAGCGTTGATTTGCAGCCTCACGGTGTTTCTACAGTGGTCTCCTGGCCTTGAGGGTCTTGAGGTGAAGCCCGGTAGGGTCCGGAGTCAAGGCCCAGTGCGGACTGAAGGCTTTGGTGTCAGCGTGGATTGAGTTGCAAGGACTGTTGTTCTGATCTTTTAATTTCTCTATTTTCTAGTTTATTCCTATGGTCTGTAATGCTATATGTTTTTACTTCTTTATTTTTCTAATTATTTTTTCCTTCAGAACTTGAACTGAAGAATCTGTACCCAGGTACCGTGTGCCTAAGATGGCACCGTAAGTGGCGACTTGTAAACATTTCACTGTACTCATGTGACAATGAAGCTCATTCAGTTCAACCTTTGACCCCCGCCTCATGGAATTTATGTAGCTCTGCTTTAAAAATAGCTAAAGACAACTACCTCACATCCACTGCTTTCTGAGGCAGACAGCTCCAAGAGAAATAACATTCTCCCCCCATCTCTGTATTATAAGGGACATGCCTCATTTTAAAACAGTGCCCTCTTGTTCTGGACTAACCCACATCTTTTCCACGTACTCCTTGTCAATATAATAAAACAAAAGAACTGCAGATTCTGGATCAAAAACAGAAGTTGCTGGAAAAGCTTAGCAGGTCTGGCAGCATCTGTGAAGAAAAAGTCAGAGTTAATGTTCTGGGTTCAGTGACCCTTCCTACCCGTTCTAAGGAGGGGTCACTGGACGTGAAACATTAACTCTAATTTTTACTTCACAGATGCTGCCAGACCTGCTGAGCTTTTCCAGCAACTTCTGTTTTTGTTCCTGATTTACAGCATTCGCAGCTCTTTCTGTTTTTATGCAGATTCTGGAGAAAAAGCAGAGTTAACCTTTCGAGTCCAGTGACCCTTCTTCAGAACTGGTCCTTGCCCAGTCAATCTAGGATCTTATGCATTTCAATCAAATCACCTCTCACTCTCCTAAACTTCCAGATTTTCAGCACCTTTAATGCAGTATATCTCGATTTTGCAGGCAAATGATTATCAGAGCCTCCACAACTTAATTTGCTAAAGCTCAGCATACATATATCCCTCGAGCTGCAAGTTAATTGGTTAATACTCTCCTTGGCTGTGCACATCGGAATTTGCTATTTACAAACTGAGCCCCACCTTCGTCTGCCACAAATAGCCGTGGGGAGGAAGAAAACGACTGGAAATATTCAGCTGATGAGGCAACACCTCTGTAAATACTGTCTTATCAGCTGAACATTTCCACCATTCGACAGCTTTGATTTTGGATTTTCACATCCACAGGGTATTCTGCTTCCCTATCGGACACAGTGACGCTTCGGGGCGGGAGAGGCGCTAACAAAATGCAACCTTTTGCAGGGATGGTCTGTCACACTGCAATATCCCCCCACCACTGTCCATGCTCCCAGGGAACTAACTGAACCAGTTTGATTGACAGCTCTCGCCCAGCCCCACGGTCACGTGGCTCGGGTTGCATCAGCCGCGAGGGGGCGCGGCCCGCCCGCTGGACTGACGTGCCTCCGCACCAATCAGAGATCGGCATTTCGGCCCGGCTGCCGGGTTTTGACCAATAGGGGAGGGGGAGCGGGCGGGGTTTGAGGGCCGGCGGACGAGGCCGAGGAGGCGGCGGTGAGGGACGTGCTGAGGGCCGGGGGCTGGAGCCGGGTGAGTGAGGGGGCCGAGAGTGGGGTCTTCGGCGCTCGGTGACCGAATCTAAACCGTTTTACTTTCCGTCAATCCAGCGGGAATGTTTGTGGTCGAGTTTGATGTCTGTGATTGCGGCCTCATGCTCCCAGTGTGAGGCGGCGCTGCGGCCCATCGGCCCATCGGCCCATCGTGTCCAGCAGGAGAGGCGGGCAGTGACTTGGAAGGGAAGAGGTCATTGGTGCTATAAGAACATTTTTAAAAATATAACTGATTGCTAAAAAGAGAGGCGAGTTGCTCAAGTTCCCCCCTGCCACCCCCATTTTTCACTCATCAGGGACAAATTCAGGAATGATGAACAGTTGTGAGCTTGAAATGTGACATTCTTGCATCTGTCCTGATGAGTCCAGGACCAAAGCGTTTGACAACGTGCCTGTCATTTAGGCAAGATCTATACCACGTTGGAACTGTGCGGGATGTCTGTGTGAACTCCAGGGTGGAAATGAGTAATATCTTGAAAAGAGTCCCCCCATTACAGAAGAGGAGGTGCTGGAGGCCTTAAAAAGCATACAGGGTAGACAAATCTCTGGGACCTGATCAAGTGTGTCCCAGGACATTGTGGGAAGCTACGGAAGAAATTGCCGGGCCCCTAGCAAAGATATTTGTATCGTTCACAGCCACGGGTGAGATGCCAGATGCCAGTGGCTAATGTTGTGCTTTTATTTAAGAAAGGCTGCAATGAGAAGCCTGGTGAATCTATAGACCGGTGAGTCTGACGCCACTGATGGGTACGTTGTTGAGGGGGATTCTGAGAGACGGGATTCACATGCATTTGGAGAGGCAGGGACTGGTTAGGGATAGTCAGCCTGGCTTTCTATTTGGGAAATCACGTCACTCAAACTTGATTGAGCTTCTCTGGGATGTGATCAAGAAGATAGATGTGGGCAGAGCGGAAGACATTGTCTACATGGACTTTAGTAAGGTCTTTAACAAGGTTCTGCATGGTAGATTGGTCAGTAAAGTTAGATCGTGGGGGATTCAGGGAGAGCTTGCCAATTGGAAATAAAATTAGCCTGACGGTAAAAGACGGCGAGTGGTGGTGGAGGAGGATTATTTTTTGGACGGGAGGCCTGTGAGGTTTGTCATTTACATAAAATGATTTGGATGAGAATATCAGAAGCATGGTTCGTAAGTTTGCGGATGACGGCAGTATTGGTGGTATAGTAGACAGTGAGGAAGGGTATCTAAGATTGCAAAGGGATCTTGATCAGTTGAGCCAACGGACCGAGGAGTGGCAGATGGAGTTTAATTTAGATATGAGAGGTTTTGCATTTTGGTAACATGAACAAGGACAGGACTTAGACAGTTAATCATAGGGCCCTGGGGAATGTTGTAGAACAGAGAGACCTACGGGTTCAGGTACATAGTTCATTGAAAATTGTGTCACAGGTAGACAGACAGGTAAAGAAGGCATTTGATATGCTTACCTTCATTGCTCAAACCATTGAATATATGGGAGTTGGGACATCATGATGTGGTTATACAGGACGCTGGTGAGGCCACTTTTGGAGTACTGTTTACAATTCTGGCCACCCTGCTATAGGAAGGATGTTATTAAATTGGAGAGAGTGCAGAAAAGATTTACAAGGATGTTACTGAGACTGGAGGGTTTCATGTATAAGGTGAGGCTGGATAAGCTAGGATTTTTTTCACTGGAGTGTAGGAGGTTGAGAGGTGGCCTTAGAGGTTTATAAAATCATGAGGGGCATAGATAAAGTGAATAGCCGAGGTCTTTTCCCTAGGGTTGGAGAGTTCAAAACTAGAGGGCATATTTTTAAAGTGAGAGGAGAAAGATTTGAAGGTACTGGAGGGGCACCTTTTCACACAGGGTGGTTTGTATGTGGAATGGACTGCCAGAAAAAGTGGTAGATGCAGGTACGGTTACAACATTTAAAAGACATTTGGACAGGTACATGAATAAGAAGGGATTGAGGGATATGGGCCAAATGAGGACAAATGGGACTAGTTTAGTTTGGGAAACTTGGTTGGCACGGTCGAGTTGGGCTGAAGGGTCTGTTTCTGTGCTGTGTGACTCTGTGACTTCAGGCCAGCGTTGTGCACCCTTCTCCTTGCCAGGATCACTAGTTCCTGGGTGCAAATCTTATTCTAGAGATTTTCATAATCAAGGCTGATCTTCCAATGCAGCCTTCAGGATCTTGTTAGGGAGGTTCTCCCTGGCCAATCCAATGAGCAACACCACTACAAAAACAGAACACCTGGTCTTTTCCTTTGTAGAATGGTTACAGCACAGGAGGAGGCCATCTGGCGCACTGTCACAATGCCAGCTCTCTGAGAGAAACTCAGCTTGTCCCGCTCCTGTTTTACACTGGAGCATTTATGCTTTTCAGATAACTATCTGATTGCAGATGTAGATGTCTTGCTGGGATTCTGTGCTTCTTTCATTTGATCCTATTGTCACATAGCTTTCCTAAAATTGAGCTGATCATAGATGTAATGGGTCGCGTTGGCTTCCAGCCTATTTCGAACTGGGCAAGCTGATAAAAATTGTCAGAAGGGACGGAGATGATCAAAGTTGATTGGAGAAATAAAGGAATGTAGCAGCATGCCCCATGTATACCGCCAGTATTTCGTGAAATTAAACCTGATATAACTGAGTGCTGTGTGAGATTAGGCAGTCTGCTGTGTGGAAGCAACAATAAAGGAACTCTAGGTAAAGTATAGAAAGGTGTCAAAATAGGAGGTCAGTTGAACCTAGTGAGATTACGCATGGTCAGCTCCAGTGGCTAGTACAGGAGGTCTACAAAGGCTAAAAGAATGAACAAGGTTGTGAAATTTTAAGGAACGTGGAATAATTTAAGAAAAAAAGATGGTATTACGAAGAATGGAAGAAACAATGGTGAAAAAGTGCAGGTCAAGATAAATGGAGATGTAGTCACTGGGGCAGTGTTACAGAGGCCCAAGCTAATGTTCTGAGAATATATGTTCAAATGCCATCATGACAACTGGAGGAATTTAAATTTAGTAAATAAATCTTGAGTTAAGAGTTAGCCTTAGTAATGGTGACCGTAACAACTATCATCAATTGCCATTAAAAATCCGTCTGGTTCACTAACGTCCTTTAGAGAAGGAAATTTGCCTTCCTTCGCTGATCTGCCTACAGTGATGTAGCTAACTCTTGACTTCTAAAATGGCCTCACAAACTTATCAGTTCAAGGGCAGTTGGGGTGAGCAACAAATGCTGACCTTGCTAGTGATACCTGCTTCCCATGATAGAAAAAGTAAGTCACCATTCGTGCACCATTTAAGTTAGAAAATGGTTGTGATCATAAGGAAGTCAAAGAGAAAAAAGCAATGGCAAAGACTGCTTTTTTTCCCCTCAATTTAAAAAATTGCTTAGCATAGGAATACGTTGAGATCTAAAAAGAATTGACAGGATTGTGCTTTGAAGTGTTGTTGCTAAATTCTAAGATGTGAGTATTTGCTGGAGGAGTTTAGTGAGATGTAGACCAAGAAGGAGGAGGATAATGATAGACACTTGAAGATTTCAATTTTGGTTGGAGCAGGAGAAAAATAATAGCTATTAATAGTAATGTTTTCTGGTCTGTCAGCAGTGGGCAGTGGTCACTTTTCTTGTAAATCATTCAGCAGAGTTTTGGTGCCAGGAAGAGTTGTTTTAGGGAAGTAAATGAGAGTCCAGTAAAATTGAAAAAGGTTTCATATGTTTCAAGTTGCATTAAATTAAGGCTCAGAAGAAAGATGGTAAGGAAAAGCCAGGGGACTATAGACTGTGAGCCTGACATCAGTGATGGGCATGTTGTTGGAGGGGATCCTGAAGGACAGGATTTACATGTGTTTGGAAAGGCAAGGACTAATTAGGGATAATCAACATGGCTTTGTATGTGGGAAATCATGTCTCACTAACTTGATTGAGGTTTTTGAAGAAGTAACGAAGAGGATTGATGAAGGCAGAGCAATGGGAGTGATCTATATGGACTTCAGGAAGGTGTTCAACAAGGTTCCTCATGGTAGACTGGTTAGGAAGGTTAGATCACATGAAATACAGGGAGAACTAGCCATTTGGATACAGAACTGGCTCGAAGGTTGTTGGTGGAGGGTTGCTTTTCAGACTGGAGGCCTGTGACCAGCAGTGTGCCAAAGGATCGGTGCTGGGTCTACTGCTTTTCATCATTTATATACGTGATTTGGATGCGAATATGGGAGATGTGGTTAGTAAGTTTGCAGATGACACCAAAATTGGTGGTGTAGTGGACAGCAAAGAAGGTTACCTCAGAGTACAACAAGATCTTGATCAGATGGGCCAATGGGCCAAGGAGTGGCTGATGGAGTTTAATTTAGATAAATGTGAGGTGCATTTTGGAAAGGCAAATCAGGACAGGACTAATACACTTAATGGGATGGTCCTGGGGAGTGTTGCTGAGCAAAGAGATCCTGGACTGCAGGATCATAGTTCCTGGAAAGTAGAGTCGCAGGTAGATAGGATAGTGAAGGCAGCGTTTGTTATGCTTGCCTTTATTGGTCAATACATTGAGTATATAGGAGTTGGGGGGTCATGTTGCGGCTGTACAGGACATTGGTTAAGGTCGTGTTTGGAATAATGTGTGCAATTCTGGCCTCCCTGCTATAGGAAGGATGTTGTGAAGCTTGAAAGGGTTCAGAAAAGATTTACAAGGATGTGGCCAGGTTTGGAGGGTTTGAGCTATAGGGAGAGGCTGAAAAGGCTGGGGCTGTTTTTTATGGGAGCATTGAAGGCTGAGGAGTGACCTCATAGTGGTTTATAAAATCATGACTGGCATGAACAGGATGAATTGCCAAGATCAGTTGTACAATTACAACATTTAAAAGGCACTAGGATGGGTATATGAATGGGAAGGGTTTAGAGGGATGTGGGCCAAATACTGGCAAATGGGACTAGATTAATTTAGGATAGCTCAATGACTAAGAGAAATGAGGAGGAAAAATGAAGTATTCCTTGAAAGGTAAGTTCATGGGAGAGAAAAGCTTCTAAAGCATTTAACTCCTGCTCTTGTTTCTCTCAGACCCTCTAACTTGTTTCCAAAATGGATTCTACAATGAATGCTGGACAGATTCGCCAGAAGTTCATTGATTTCTTCAAGTGTTACAACCACGAGTATGTCCACTCCTCAGCGACTATCCCTCTCGATGACCCCACGCTTCTGTTTGCCAATGCCGGTATGAACCAGGTAGGTCTACCAGATTGCCATGTTCTGTTGAAAGCTGTTCATCTCTAAAGCCTTGAAATTGAGCTGTATGACTGCATAATTTGGTAACTTTTTATATGAAAATTCTATCTGTTATATTAGGAAGAAACATCAACCAGGACTTAATTTGTATCTGTTTAGACTTGTCCACTTTGCCATTTCACAATTCCATTTGTATAGGTCTGGTTGAAGGCCCTTTAGCCCATTTTATCACTTCCTAGATTATCAACCTAATCATCTTCCCATTAGAGGCAAAGCTGTTTCTATCTCAGATGATCACTGATTGATTGATAGTTAGACTCCATGTGGACTTCAGTATTGGATGCTATCAAATGACATCTAAATTTATTTTAATTTGGTTTGATAAAATGCATTCACTCGCTGTTAACTCAGCAACAGTGTTGTACAAAGAAAGGGTTTATCCCATCCAATAATATCACCGTTCCATATCTATTACGTACAGAACAGCAAAGTAACATTGAAAAAGTATGTAAGGATATAGGTAGGCAGCATCACTTGAATAATGGAATCTAGTTTATAATCATATTGCACTGCACGGTGAGATTGGCTACATCACTGGATGGACCACAAACAGAAACTTTGGATTCTAGATACTAGAAATACGCACTGGACAGGATCTGTGAAGAGGAAAGGCTGGTGTAGCATTTTGGGTGCGCACCCTTCACCAGAGTTTTCTGATTTAACTGTGGTATTGGAATGGTTATAACCTTGGTCTTCTCTGCGCATTTACAACATTTTCTATTCATATTTTATTCCCAACATTGGCAGTTTTCCTTTATCTTGTTCAACTTGAGACATACGGTGAACGTACGGACTGTTGGCTCTCAGGCGGTCATCTTGTATAAGAAGATAACAAGTGGTATGCAGTAGTGACTGGCTAATGTGCCTGTTCCATCTTGTAGAGGAGTGACTGGACACAATTTAACATCTGTCAATGATGCTGTGACTTGAGGCAGTTTACATCTTGCAATGTGGGGAATCTCTGGTGTAAACCCCAATTGTTGGACTTTCCGCGTATTGGACTGTCCTATCATCGTCACCAAAATAAATTTGTACCTTTAGTAGTGTGAATTGGTATGTGAAGGGTTAATCTTCACCTTGCTATTGGGTGAAAACAGTTTGACAAGAAATGTTCACCAGGTGCATAATGATAATAAAGGATCAACAACCGAAGAGATATGTTCTTGTCTTAGCCGTTTAAGACATTATTTCAGCTGCAGTTTGTCCTTCCTAGAACACTGCTTAGTTTGTGGCATCCCAAATTGCAGAGGTTAATGGGAATGATCCAGCTTTGGAGATGGTTTTCTTTCATAAATATGACTATAGATGCTTTGAACTGTGCTCGGAGTGCAATCTGTGTGTGAACAGGGTTATGATATAGGATTTTTGAATCTGGAATTCACTGTTTTCGTCCAAGCCCCTAAAGCTAGTCATTAACACAATTGGGATGTCCAGGCTGAAGACCAAGCGCTGTTGCAAAGGTCAGGCTTGTGATTGGATTTAAGGTCAGTTGATGGGGGATTGCTAGGCTGAAGGCTGCGGGGGAATGATGTTAACAGACAAAAGGATAGCTTATCTTTCTTCGTTCGGCCTGTACCTAGGACATACACATAAGCCAGTTGATTGGTACTGGCGTGTTTCACTACATCTCCCCTCTAGCTTAGGTGCCCATTTGGAGTTACAATAGAAAAATCAGCCAGTAAACCTGTGAACATTTTCTCCCTCTCTTGAATGGGATCATTGTCTGTGGGATCCCGTCTCTAATACTTTTCCTTGACCTGTGGCTGGGGAGAATGGTTGTTCCCTAGAGGCAAGGTTCAGGCATGTCTGATATTAATCAGAAGTGGTGCAGAGTTTCTGTTGCAGAGCTCCTGACCTCCTGGGATACGACACAATTGAATATCAAATTGAGAATGTAGGTCTACTCTGTAAATTTTAGGTAGTACAGTTTGCTTAATGTTGATGTGGTACGTACTGTACACGTGCAAGAGCTGATGTGGTAGCATGCATGAGATGCACAAACTTAGCCTGTTGACTCAAAAACTTCCGGACCCCACAAGAGTTCCATTAACTTCTTTATTTTAGTTTAGCCGGCGAGAGGGCCGGAGTCAACATCAAAGTAACAGTCAAGCTCTCACTTGGTGGACTCTCTTTGGACCTCTGTGTATAGCATAAAAGCAGTACAGTTTATAGCCCTTGTTATCACATCCCATACTGTTCACATGCGTCATAAGCAGATAAGCAGTGCAGTTAACAATGTTCCATTGAATAGAGAAAGCAGCCCCAGCCATGGGAAGAACAGCTGCAACCTTTAGTTTGTTACAAACACAGGCACACATTCCAAAATTTATGGTACATCGTTATTTCAGCAAAACTTCTAACTATTGCTTCCCCAATACTTTATCATTCCTTCCTTTTGATCATTTTATGATCACACAGAATATTCCTAAAGCTGAAAACTATAGCAATTGGATATCAGTGGCCACAAGCATCTTAACACGAGAATGCAGGCAATTACAATAAGTATTATAATCCCGAAATGTAACAACATGCCCCCAATATTCCCAAAAAGACTCCCAAACGGCCACCATCCTGTCCCACTATTGAACCCATGTAGGTCATTACCAACACCTTGGATTTTCTGGACTTCTTGGGTAATGTGCTTGGAGAGGTCAGTAATATTGGTTGATTCATCAGGAATATAAGTACAACATTCCTTACCTATAATGGCACATGTCCCTCCTTTTTCTGCTAGGATAAAGTCTAGGGCCATTCGATTTTGTAAGACTGTTTGCCGCATTGCAACCATTTCAGCAGATAACTCAGTTACCTGCGTCTGAGTATCAGTCAATGCCCCCACTGTATTGTTAGCTACTACCTCCAGGGCAGCTGCCAGATTAATTGTTTCCCTAGAAGTTCGGGCAGTTCCATAAAGGGGAAAAAGGATCATCCAGACCCTTTCCCTTTCAGGTATTTCCCTTTGTTGTCGACCCCAACGAGAATGTCCCTTGGGGTGACTCATAATTCATAAATGAGGGACCAAATATGCTAAGTAACAACAACCCTTCCAAGGGCGGCCTTGGGATTTAGTGGTTCCACCATTGTCTGCTTTCTCTCCTGGCAACCATGTGTAGGCCCGGTTCCTGCACACCCAGTAGGTTCCATTTAGAGGCCGTGGAAGCGCAATACTCTGATTCTTTACACAGGAGCTGTATCCCACATCATGGGGCACACTCTGATTATGGCTACAGTAACAGGTAACATTCACCGGATCTTTAGGAGGGGGCACTATCAAGGCAGTCACTAACTTCTCGGGATCTGAGGGGGCTTTTCTTGCTCTCCACCCTTCAAAACAACATGGCTGACAATCACTACCGTGTTGATATAGTGAGCAGTTGACCGCACTACCAATAGTAGAAGCCGAAAAGGTTTGTATTGAAATTACTTCACTGGCATTGAGGGGGACAATAGACATGGGAATCATGGCCTCATCGTGCTGGGGAATCTCAGCACATACCCAACACGCTCCCTGTTCTACCAGTTTGGCATATGTATGACAGGGATAGAAAGGTGTTAGCCCGAAATCCTTCTGTCCTCAGAGTAAAACCCCGCCAAAGTCACCATAGTCACAATTATCCAATGCATTTTTCTTCCTTAATCCTTCTCTGTTCCTTCACTGACTCGTTTACAGTCGGTTCTATGAAACCAGCAGGGTTGTCCTTGCACTTTCACAGCTGTGGGGGTGGTCAGTAACACTTGATATGGTCCTTTCCACCTTGGTTCCAACTTTCCCCGGTCCCAGTTCTTAATCAGGACAACATCTCCAGGGTCTACAGGAGGGTAGTCTCCTTCAGACAGATTGTCACCCTCTCGATAGGCTTGGCGTACCTGTGAATGTAAACTTTGGAGAGCTTTGGTTAACTAATGCAGGTATTTTCCCATTTCCTCCCCCAGAGTGTGCATATCCAATTTTTCAGGAAGGGGAGGTCAGACTACCCCAAGTCCCCATGGGCTTCCCATAGACAATCTCAGCGGGAGATAACCCTGTTTTACCTGAGGGGGTAACTCGCAAATGGAATAGCGCCAAAGGTAGGACCTTCAACCAGTTCAGTCCTGTCTTCTGTGTTAACTTGGCCAACTTATTCTTTAGAGTGCCATTTGCTCGTTCCACTATCCCGGCTGCCTTTGGATGGCGAGTGCAGTGGAACTGTTGCTTTATAGCCAGCTCTTTGCAGATCTCCTCGTTTACTCTAGCTACAAAGTGTGGTCCATTGTCCGAGCTTATCATTTCTGGAAGTCCATAATGGGGAATTATTTCCCTCAACAATATTTTTGCCACTGTTGTAGCAGTATTGTCAGTCGTTGGGATGGCTTCAATCCATCTACTAAATACATCTACTATTACTAAACAATACTTATAACAATGTATTCTAGGTAGTTTTATAAAATCAAGTTGTAGACAAGCAAAAGGCCCACCGGGCAAGGGGGTGGTTCCAGAACCACAGGGCATCCCTCTTCCAGCATTCGTCTTTTTTTATAAATTAAGCATGCTTTAGCTCGTTTCTCAACTGCTTTCTGGAAATCCGGGTGCCACCAGGTTTGTAATAAAGTATTAACCATTCCCTCCTTGCCCAAGTGTGTACAATTATGCACATAATCAACTAAGATTAGTAGGCGCAAAGAAGGAACACAAACATGTCCCGCAGGGGTCACCCGTAGCTTAGTTTGAGGGTCGAGGTAGCATCCCATTTGAGTCCATAGTTTGTGCTCCTCAGCAGGGGCATCCCCTGTAATTTTGTATCTCACCCAGGTCTGGCATATCCGTCCTTACACTATTTCTAACCAGGTTTTGCTGGGAATCCAATGGAACCAGAAGTACGGGGTGTAAGGCCGCCTGCTTGGCAGCAGCGTCTACCCGCTCATTGCCTTTGGAGACCGTATCTATTGCACCGATGTGAGCCGAACATTTGATTACCGCTAGACTGGCTGGCAATTGCAAAGCCTGCAAGAGGTTATGCACAAAAACAGCATTATTAATAGGCTGTCCCGTGGAAGTTAAAAATCTCCTATGTTCCCACAAGGCTCCGTAATGGTGGGCCACGCCAAAAGCATTTTCAATTCAGTAAATGCAGTCAACTGCTCAGTCGTTAACGTAAAGCTGGGAGGGGCATTGGAGGACTCCAATAGGGTGAGTAGGCGGGTATGGATAGCAATATTCGGTATCCATTGTCTACAGAAATTCAGTAGTCCGAGAAAGGCACGCATCTGCTTAGGGGTCGTAGGCGGCGGAGTATTGGCAATGGGTCGTATTTGATCCTCTGTTAATTTCCGTTCTTCCGCTGAGAGTACAACTCCCAAAAACTTAACCTCATATTGGGAGTGTTTTACCTTGTGGGGTGGGATGACTTATCCTAGGGAGTGCAAGAAGTTCAGTAATACTGTGGTATCAGTTTCGCAGCTAGATACGCTGTTACCGGCGACAAGCAAATCATCCACATACTGTACTACTGTCGATCCCTGTGGTAGTTCCAGGGTCCGTAACTGTTTCTGGAGGGTCTGAGAAAACAATGTGGGGGAGTGGACAAAACCCTGGGGCAGCCGGGTCCAAGTATACTGCTTGCCTTGGTATGTAAAGACAAACAGGTACTGAGAGTCCAGGTGTAACCGTACGGCGAAAAATGCATGTTGTACGTCAATTACTGTAAACACGCAGGCATCGGCAGGTATGCAACTTAAAATAGTCGCCGGACATATTCAGTTTTTACCTGTAACTTGGCTCGTGGTTTGGGTTCGTTCTGACCATCCCAGTAGTAGACCACTGCTCGCCTCATTTGCGACCGGGAATTCTCGGACCAGTTCATATTGTTTGTCCGGATCATGTCAGCGACACCAGAAGGAATACATTGCAAAACCATAGCGTTAAACAAAGGTGAGTCGTCTCCTCGATTGAAGGCTTGATCATCCGCAAATGTTCCGTAACAGGCAACAAACCGCTCCCAATAATCGCCTCCCGACTCCCCAGGTTTAGGTCTGCACTCCAGTGTTTTACTAATGTTTACAGGTTGTTGTAAAGCTCGTTCTAACGACTGAATCAAATGGTTTGTTTGGGCATCAACGTGGGGAAATCTCTGCTCTAACTCCCTATGACTTCGAATTGGTCCCCTTTTGATTGCCGTCACCCATTTGTTCCTGCCATTTAGTCACTTCCTCAGGCGATAAAATCATACAGCACAGTGTGAACAGATCTTGCGGGGTGGCCTTATACATTTGAACCGTCCTTCGGACATACTGGGCGAATTGGGCTGGCTTTTCCTTACGATCCGGAGCTTGGTTCGTTATCATTTCTTGGGGCTTCCAGGGGACATAAACTCTAACTGTTGGTTCCTGATCGTCATCAGCGGCTCTGGGATTTGTTAACTGTCGTATTGGACACTGCAATTGGGGACCAATTTGGAGTCCACTAACCCCAGTACAAAGGTCAGACTGGATCCCTTGGGAGCCTGATACGGCGGCGGGGACGGTGCAACAGGAATAGGCGGGTGTACGGGAGGTACTGGCAATCTAGGATAACATCCCCATTCCTCATCTCTATCGGTATCATCCCCCTCGTCAAACAGGGTCGGTATGCCAGACATAGGCTCGGGATCACGATTAGAACTTAGATTCTCTTTACAGTGATGTTGCTTTAACCCTTCCTGTCTATCTCTCAGCCTTGGTGTCTTTACGCTGTTAATGGTTTAGGCAATTGTCTGAGGTTTAACTCTGAGCTCTTTTAGATTACTGCTGTTGCATTAGTTTTTGCTTTTTGTGAATTCTTTCCTTTATATTGCCTCTTAAGTCTTAAACCTGACCAAATGAAAGCACAAAGTTGCCCACAGTATCTTGGTATTGCTATGGCTATCTATGTACTCTGATAATTTGGTGCATCTGCATGTGCAAATGTTTGGGTTTGCCGGATCTCAATTTTATAGTATTTGGTTTCATTTCTTTATATTCTACAAATTTTCAGCATCAGACTGGGTCTAAATTGAGTATTAGTCTAACTGTTGCAACAATAATGGAAGGTAGCACAGGAGTTTAGAATTTATTTGGCAGAATGAAGTAAAATTATATTACTTAGTACTACAGTCATTGTTTCCACGATGCTCTTATCTTGATTTTTCTAAGCTACAACTACACTACCCTAACACACTTTCACTTTTAGATGTATCACAATCTTATACTTCAACTTACTGTTTCCCTTTGTTAGCTAGTCTGCCCCGTTCCTCTATCATATTCTAATTTTAACCAGCCATATCATAAGGAGGCAGTTCTCTAGATCGAATCCATCGGTAGTGGCGACCATTTCACCTGACCGGGGTCCCCAGTCCTGACTCTTTATCTCAGGAACAATACAGAATAGCCAATGTCACCCGCAGCACAACCTCATAAAAAGAAAACAATTTCTTACCTTATGATCCTGGTCCGGATATTCGTTGTATCCCATCAAGGTACCAGTTTCACTGGGCGAGGGGCAGATCGTCTGTCCGAACATAAGGAGTGGTCTGGGGTAAAATACCTTGGGGTGCCCTACCACTCTATTATGCTCGATTCAAACTCTCGGTCACTTATCCAGCCCAGAGAAACGTTCCCTTTGTTGGGATCCGAGTCATGGCACCAAAATGTTGACTCAAAAACTTCCGGACCCCACAAGAGTTCCATTAACTTCTTTAGTTTAGCTGGCGAGAGGTCCGGAGTCAACACCAAAGTAACAGTCAAGCTCTCACTTGGTGGACTCTCTTTGGACCTCTGTGTATAGCATAAAAGCAGTACAGTTTATAGCCCTTGTTATCTCGTCCCATACTGTTCACATGCGTCATAAGCAGATAAGCAGTGCAGTTAACAATGTTCCATTGAATAGAGAAAGCAGCCCCAGCCATGGGAAGAACAGCTGCAACCTTCAGTTTGTTACAAACACAGGCACACATTCCAAAATTTATGGTACATCGTTATTTCAGCAAAACTTCTAACTATTGCTTCCCCAATACTTTATCAAGCCATGAGTGAATTGAGTGCTTTCCTCCAGGAGTATAATGTGCAGAGGTTGCTGCTGGGGAGAGATACAAGGAAGTTTTCCACTTTGAAAAATACTTAGTGGTCCCTTTACTCTTATCTTCCACTTACCCAGTGAGTAAATTTTGTCCAAACAGATCAAGGCCCGTAAATTGGGTTTCAATTTGTTTCTGTATTGACAGGTTTGCAGCTGAGGAAGCAGCTAGGTTTCTTTATTTAGGTTCATGTCTCCTGGAGGGGAATATGGAAATCAGGCCAGGTTCCCATCTGAATACTGTAGCATGGTGTGCTTAAACATGTTTTAATGTTTGGAAGTCTGGTGAAGGTGGTATCAGATGGGGCTGTGACTTTTTTAACCTGTATGTTTAACATTTGCTGTACCCACCCATGCTTGATGATTAGCCATGTTGAAGGATTGGCAGCCACAGAATTCCAGAGTGTGAGTGTGAGTACCATTTTCTAATGAGTGACTTATCTTTTCCTTTAAAGTTTAAACCAATTTTCCTGAACACTATTGACCCATCCCATCCAATGGCAAAACTAACAAGAGCTGCAAACACTCAGAAATGCATCCGCGCAGGAGGGAAACACAACGATCTGGATGATGTGGGAAAGGATGTTTATCATCACACCTTCTTTGAGATGTTGGGTTCTTGGTCCTTTGGTGATTATTTCAAGGTAAATATAGTGGTTTTCTTAGGAACTTTCTTAGATTAATTTAAAGAGCGAAAAATGTTGAGAAATGAGTAATAACATTTGCTGATTTTAGAATTAAAGAATCATACTGTACTGAAGAGGCCCTTCAGCCCATCGAGTCTGCACACACAAAACTACCCTGGATCTACGTTAGTCCCACTTCCCAGCACTTGGCCCATAGCCTTGAATGTTATGACATTTCAAATGTTCGTCCAGGTACTTTTTATAATTGAGGTTTCCCATCTCTATTTCCCTCCCAGGCAGTGCATTCCAGATTTCCACCACCCTCTGAGTTGAAAAAGTCTTTTTTTCAATTTCCCTTGCAACCTCCTGCCTTTCACCTTAAAATTATGTCCCCTTGTTATTGATGCTTCAAGTACGGGGAACAGCTGCTCTGTATCCATCCCTGTCCATGTCCTTCATATCCTTATACACCTCAGTAGGTCCCCTCTCAGCCTCATCTGCAGAAGTTCCATAGAATCCCTACAGTGTGGAAACAGGCCCTTCGGCCCAACAAGTCCACACCGACCCTTGGAGCATCCCACCCAGACCCATCCCCCTTTAACTCACACACCCCTGAACACTACGGGCAATTGAGCATGGCCAATCTACCTAGCCTGCACATCTTTGGACTGGGGGAGGAAACCCATGCAGACACGGGGAGAATGTGCAAACTCCGCACAGACAGTTGCCCAAGGCTGGAATCGAACCCGGGTCCCTGGTGCTGTGAGGCTGCAGTGCTAACCACTGAGCCACCATGCCACCCGTAAAGCAGTAAAGGAAACACCCCAAGCTTATCCAGCCTCTCTTCAAAACTGAAATACTGCATCCCAGGCATCGTCCAGGTGAATCTCATCTGCACCCCCTCCAGTGCAATCACATCTTTCCTATCGGGCACTGACCAGACTGCACACAGTATTCCAGCTGTGGCTTAATCAAAGATTTGTGTAGCTCCAACATAACCTCCCTGCTGTTATAATTTATGCCACCATGGATAAGGGCAAGTATCCCATATGCCTCTTTAACTACCCTTTTAACATGTCCTGCCACCGTCAGGAATCTATGGACAAGTACCCCAAGATCCCTCTATTCCTCTGATTTTCTAGTGTCTGTCCACCCCTTGTCTTGTTATCTCTTCCAAAGTGCATCCCTCACACTTTTCAGGGTTAAGTTTGATAGAGGTTATGGCTCGGCGTTGGAGAGTGTGGACTAATACATTTTGGGGATTGTATCATTCAAGTAAAATATGGACTAGAGTGCCACACAGCAAGATCTCGAAGCCCCCATCATACAGCAGAATACTCTGACAGGATTACAGGGGGTTAGAGCAGCACTTGCCCTAGGTGCTCCTAACCCCATACCTTGCAAGGCAAATGAAAGATGAGCTCAACCTTTAACTGTGCATTTGGTGTAGTTAAGTAATGTGGCTGTTGTGTGAGATGATTTGCTTAACTACCTAGATGCAGTTTAAAGAACCCAAGGATTGGAATGTTAAAGTTTGTATAACTTCTAACAATGCAAAGTATTTGTCATCTTGGAGCATGCCACTAAGATCATAGCAATGTAATTTGCTGGGAGACAACCTGCCCAGTCTCTTGTGTAATTTGGGAGGTTAACTTGTTCAGGTGCAGACAACCATCTCCATGCCCATTCCTGTATAGGCGCCCCCTTTATTGATTTAAGTTTGTTCTCTCTCTGGGTTTGTTCCACAAATACAACCCATGTTGCTATTTTGTTCGCAGTAGTAGGAAGTTACTTTGATGAAATGAGATCCTCCCTTGTACTGATTCAGTTTCTGTGGGGTGACTTTTTTTTTTTTGCTTTGATTGCGTAGGCATTGGCATGTGAGATGGCGTTAGAGCTGCTGACAAACGAATTCGGGATCCCCATCGAACGGCTGTATGTGACTTATTTTGGCGGGAATGAGAAAGCAGGGCTGGAACCAGATCTTGAATGCAAGCAAATCTGGCTAAATCTGGGGTGAGATTTTCTTTATTTCTCCTGTTACTGCCTTTCCTGTTGCGCTGGGTTCCATTGACGAGAATCCAGTTTTGTTCTGTGTGTTCGTGTGCATTTATCTAGGTCCCTTTGTAGCTAAGCATCTTATTCTGAAAAATTAACTATCATTGCTGGTGAAGATTAGGTAAATTTATTAATAGTGGGGGTGATGCCTGTTATTCTTGCCCTCCGCTGGCAATGTTTCCAGTATAATAACCGAGCAAGTCGTAAGTGAACATACAAGGGATTGTTGACCCTTTTTGGAGAGATGTGAGCTTTCAGCTCCCCATTGTAAACACTCTTCAACTCCATGGATTAGAAGAATGAGCTTGAATTGGGTATGGAATATACTGCTGCCCTGGCTGAAGTTGGATAGCTAACTCAGCATAGGTCTGGGAATTACTTTTCAATCTTCCTAGTCTGGATTGCTGCCATTCTCTGATCCTTTGAGTACACATATCATTTGTCAGATATTTCTGAATAGAATGTATGGGGAAAAGAAAATACTTGTCCAGTAATAAGGTATTTAATTGAAGAAAAGTTGCTTCAGGCCCTGAACTGCACAGAACATAAATTAGAATTAGAAATAAATTAGTACAATTAGAACTTGGCCTGGGCTTTTTCGTACTGTATTAAATGTAGTTGATTGTATCTGTCTGCATAGAATGGCTGAGGAACGGATTCTGCCAGGAAGCATGAAGGATAATTTCTGGGAGATGGGTGATACTGGACCTTGTGGTCCCTGCAGTGAGATACATTACGATCGTATTGGAGGCCGTGACGCTGCTCACCTGGTCAATATGGATGACCCTAACGTTCTGGAGGTCTGGAACCTTGTGTTCATTCAGTTCAACAGGTAACTTCGCTGTCATTCAGCACTGCATCAAAACCTTATACCCTGCCAGGACTTGGCTCAACGTTATTAAGACAAAGCAGTACTACCATTTTATTTGGAACTGATTCATTTTACTTTTAAACACTTTATTAGTTGAGGTGCTTTCCGACAGTGGTACTTTGCCTTACACTCTATGACGTGGATTTGGATCTCTTTTACTTAGCGTCAAGCAGTAAACTTGACTGTTGCTTTTTTTTTAATATAAGGTTTATATAGCATTTGCATACAATCTTTCTCTACCAAAGGATGTTTGGAAACCCTTTACAGCCAGTTATGTGCTTTTGAAGTGTATTGACAGTTGCAATGTAGGAAATACAGCATAGTGAGCTCCCACAGTGACTAAATAATCAGTTTTTATGATGTTAATTGAAGCATAGATATTTTCTAGGACTCTGAGGATAGGTCACCTCTTTTTCAAAATAGTTCTATAGGAACTTTTACACTCCCTGAAAGGCCTTTGTCAAATGACTCCTCCATAGGACAGCATCTCTAACAGTGCATTACTGCACTGGCTTGTAAACCTTGACTTTTGTGTCAAGTCCTGGACTGGGATTTGAACCCACAACCTACTGACTTGGGTGAATTTGCTACCAATAGACCCATAGTTGGCACACACATTATGATGTAGCTGAATGCATAGCAGCTCATACACTCAGCTGTGAGAAATCTCTTGGATATTATTGAAACATCCTTGGGAATTGAACACTAAGTTAGGAATGACAGAGCAGCATTGGATATTGGAGCCTTAGTTTCCTCTTTCTGTACTACATATTGAACTGATGTAAAATTTTACAGCAGCATGCATATAGTATTCCTCGTTGTCTCTCATTGCACTGATATAAGATACTTGTGTTTCAAACAGCATTGAAACAGGAATAGGCCACTTATCCCATTGAGCCTGTTTCACCATTCAGTGAGATAGTGGCTGATTTGTGACCTAATTGCATGTATCCGCCTTAATCTCTTATCTCTTACTAAGTTTAGTTAACAAAGTGATATTTATCTCTGTTTATATTTAACAATTTATCCAGACTTGATTGTCGTTTGTGAAAAAGTTCCAGACTTCTATCACCGTTTCAAAGTTTTTCCTCATTTCTCTTCCCCAGTCAGGTCTGGTACTGATTTTTAGGATATGTCCCCTAGTCCTAGATTCCACAGCCAGTGAGAATAAGTTCTGTTTACCTTATTTGTTCTCCTTATTAGCTTGAAACTTTTGACTAAATCACCCCTTAATCTTCTAAATTCCAGGGAATACAACCCTTGTTTGTGTGACCATTTTACCTGGGCTCCAAGGGCTTATTTGCATGCTCCATCCAGAATCTCTAAACTCTTCCTAAGGTGTGGTGGCCAGAACTCAGTATCTCCATGTGGCTTAACCAGGGCTTTGTATAGTTCAAGCATGACTTCTGCCCTTAGTATTCTAGCCATCCATCAATCTTTGTGATTAGTTTTCTCTACCTATTCATAATATTTTCATGATATCTATACCTGGATCCCGAAGTCTCTCTTAACCATTTGGAAACTAGCCTTTTCTATTCTTTTTGTACTTGTGTTGGAAGACCTCACATTTATCAGAATTGAAATCCGTGTATGAATTTATTTAATCTATCAATCAGTGTCTCCTTATGATGTTATGTTTCCATTTATGCTGCTTATAATCTGCCTACCTTAATGTCAGCGACAAACCTTAATTACTTCATTGCTCCCTCTGCTCCAGAGAAGTTGATGGCAGTCTGAAACCTCTGGCAAAGAAGAGTATTGATACAGGAATGGGTTTGGAAAGGCTTGTGTCAATCCTGCAGCAAAAGATGTCAAACTATGACACTGACCTGTTTCAACCTTATTTCAAAGCCATCCAAAAGGTAAATTATTCAAATAGTTAGTTTATCTACAACAGGTACAGGTTGTGGTGCATTTTACTCTGTTTTATCTGTGTCTGTGTATGTTTCTGTCTTTAAATGAGTTTTGTATTCAGGGTACTTTAGACTAATACTGCAGAGAAAGAAACAATCAGCTTTCTTTTAAAAAAAAATGAGATATTTTCAGGTTAATGTGACTGTAATGACCTTGTGAGAAACCTGGAGACTAAATAATGAAACCATTCTTCTCAACCAGTGGTTGTGGTGAGTGTACCCAAATAAGACTAAAGCTCTCAATACTCCTCATCTGGGTTTGCAGACATGGCACTTAAAGGAGGTAATGTCACCCTGAGAAACCCTGTAACTTACACTGTGCTGAATTTAAAGCATGAGCTGCTTTTCAACTTTTGTCTCCATTTCGAGGCTTCCTTGTGAATCACGTTATTTGAATGAATTATTATCCCCTAATATCAGAAGGCCAGAAGATCAGGGCTGTCACCCAAAGAGCAACACCACTTGCTGGTATTGTGTAACATGATGAAGAACAGAAACTCCGATATATACAGCAGCATAAAAGAGCCAGAGTCTGTGACACTTCACTGTTGTTCAAATCCATCATGTGCTGCTCTGGTTTGGAAGCAACGTATTTAATTCTTCATTTATAAAATTTTAGGGCACTGGAGCCAGGCCGTACACTGGGAAGGTGGGGTCTGAGGATGTTGATGGAATAGACATGGCATACAGAGTGCTGGCAGATCATGCAAGGACGATAACAATTGCTTTGTCTGATGGAGGTAGACCAGACAACACTGGTAGAGGGTAAGTTGGAAAACATTAGGAAATTGTGCAGTTGAATGTATCCACTTGGACACTGCATCAGTCCCCACAAGTGGAGACAAACTATTTCCTTACAAGAATATATCTCCTAGTTGCTATATTGCTCTTGGTCCCCAGCTCTTGGCCTCATCTCAGCTCGATGTGACTGCTGTTTGTGTTCACAGCTCAAGCCATTTTCAATTTGCTTATCCTTCTGTCTACTTACTAACTGCTGTAAACTGGTATCTCCCTTTAACGTCCTCGGCTCTGAGGAGAACAGCCCCAGTTTCCCTTGTCTCACCTGAAATCTTTTGTCTTTGATGCCATCCTATGAAATCTCTTCTAAGGCCTTGATATCCCCCTTAAATTGTGCTAGCCAGAATTGGATACACTACTTCAGTTGGGACCTGGCCGGTGTTTCATAGATTCATACAGTGCAGAAAAGGCCCTTCGGCCCATTGAGTCTGCATTGATATAACTACCATTAAAAGTGAGCTAATCCCAATTTCATATACTTGAGCCATATTCTTGAAATGTTATGATATTTGGACTGCTCATCCAGATATTTTTTAAAGGTTGTAAGGTTTCCGGCCTCCCCTACGTTCCCAGGCAGTGCATTTCAGATTCCCACCATCTGCTGAGTGAAACAATTCTTCCCAAATCGCCTCTGAATCTTCTCCCCTTACCCTAGAATTATGGCCTCTCGTGATTGACCCCCTCAACCAACGGGAATAGCTGCTGTCTGTTCACCCTGTCCATACCCCTCATAATCTTATAGACTTCAATCATAAAGTCAAAGAGTTGTACAGCACGGAAACTGACCCCTTGAGGGAGGAGGGTATTGAATGGTCCTGGTTGCTGGGGGAAGGGGCAAGCGAACCAAATGCCGCCTTCACTACCCTGTCTACCTGCGACTCCACTTCCAAGAAAATCTGAACCTGCACCCCAAAGTCTCTTTGTTTGGCGGCACTCCCCAGGACCCTACCACTAAGCGTACAAGTCCTGCCCTGATTTGCCTTACCAAAATGCAGTACCTCACATTTATCTAAATTAAACTCCATCTGCCACTCATTGGCCCATCTGATCAAAGTTCCCCTTCAATCTTCTGTGCTCTAAAGAAAGCAATCCAAGCCCATCTAATCTCTCAATTCCTTCATCCTAGGCAACATCCTGGTGAACCTCCTCTGTACCCCCTTCAGTGCTATCACACTGTTTTCTGACAGTTTAGCAAACACCGGATCAGTAGTGTCCAGGCCTTAACCAATCAAAGACGCTGGTTAATTGTCCCAAATACAGGGTGGGCTTGTAAAATCTAGGACTGTCGGTTACCCGGTCAAGAGAGTTATTGATGTGGTAGAGCTGCGTGTCATCAGTCTACATATGAAACCCAACGTTGTGTTTCTGCTTGGTCAGCAAGGGACAGCGTATACATGAGAGGGAGAGAGTCAGATCCATCTGGAAGCCACCTTTAAATTCTCTGACTTTTACTTATAAGGTTTTGTTGTAGATACCACTCGTAAGCATCTTCTGTCATTTAAAGCTTCATAAATCCACGACAGCTGACATTCAGTTTTGCAATTCCTATTGTGTTGAGCTATAAATTTTAAGTTAAAATATCAACACGACCTGGTCTGGAATTTCTTGTTGCTGCACCTCAATAATTTGAGGGTTTACACCCTAGAATCATAGTTTTTTTTGTCACCAAGGGGATAGGAGCAATTTGAAGCTATGTGTGAAAACAAATACCAAACATGGCTGCGGTTTGAGAATGTGTATTTAATAAGTAACAAAAAGTTTACAATTTTAACAGCAGATTAAACTAAATGTAATTTAGTTTTGGTTGCTTTCTTTCATATCTTTCACAACCTCTTAACCTGATTTGCTTTACTGCAAGATCACAGAAATTATGTTTTGCAATCTCCTTCATCACTGTATTCCACTTTTAAGGTCATGTATGTCCCTTTGTAAGGGCATTTCTCTGTAAGCAAATCAACAGCAAATTATTTCCTGAAATAAGACTAAGGACCAAGATATAGTCCTTAGGATTTTGAGTGTTTTGTGCTGTTAGCTGCCCAAAAATATGGTAGTGATGGGAGTGCTTTTAAGAGTTGAGGAAAGGAAACCTCAAACCAGAGTTCCAGCTTCTAATTTCTCATTCCTGCTCTTGCTGTCTCCTCCCTTCCTGCAATTGCCTGAGGAGAACATATCTGGGTTTGCGTATTTCCACATGAAGAGTGGCTCCTCAATACAGGGCCAGTTGCTGACACCAGAGGAGCATACCCCCACTACAACTCTCATTGTACCTTCTGTACAGCAGGTTGAAAACCTCTGAACAAAAGATAAAATGTAATCAAAGAACACTTTTTGATGGAATGTGAGCAGCATGGAGGGGTCAAATTGAAAATTATCTTAAGGTCCTCAGGACGTTACTTCATTACAGAGCCTGCAGCACCTATGGAGATTATCAGTAGTCTTGCAGAAACACACAGCTATGAACCTCTGCTAGCCAGAATGGATCGATCTATTCTTAATCCAGATGTCCTGATTTAAATTGGTTTGTTTGCTGCTTCTGTATAAACTCAAACAGTTTTCCTCTCGTCCTCTCAAAACAGCAGTCCAGGTGCCACATTCAGATTGAGAGTTGCCTCATTGTTATAATGTCTGCAACCAAAGTGGTGACATAAGAGGAAGCAGATAAAAATTCAAGAAGTTCCTACTTATGCTTTCTTTTTCTGTATTTGTTGTAGAATCTGGAACAGTTAATTCACTGAGTTTTACCATTCTCCTCTACAAGTTGTACAAAGTGTTGGACCAGTGGTATTAAAGATGTTTCTCTGTGCAGGTATGTTTTGAGGAGGATTTTACGAAGAGCAGTGCGATACTCTCACGAGAAGCTGAATGCGTCAAAGGGTTTCTTTGCAACCCTGGTTGATGTGGTGGTGGAATCTTTGGTATGTACGTCACACCCTTAGCCCTCACTATAATTTGCTGGGGACCTTACAAAAGATTTCACCTCTGGAATGAAAAAGCAAGGTGCTGGAGGAATACCTGCACTTCCCCAAGTACACAAGGAGAAAAGGAAGGTCAGTGTTTTGCAGGTGCAGATCTTTCGGTCACACTGCCCTGACAACTGGACTGCATCTGAAATACTGATCTCTTCTTTTTCAGCCCTTTGTGTTTTCTGCATTTGCTTCAGGTTTTCAGTATTTATAGGTTTTTTTAAAAACCTTCGGATTTCTGAGCATCTCTTTGCCCAGATTGTCAGCAAGGGCTGCCTGGCACAAGCCTAGTATTACAATGCAAGGAAGGGTAGATTACCCTGGGTCATTACAGTGCAGCGTCCTGGGACCAATTCCAAATGCTGATGTTAAATAACCCTGGACAGTTCCATCATTTCTCCCTGACTGAGAGGGCAATGTATAGTATCAGGGAAGAGAAGAAATATTAAAAAAATGTGAATTTGTTGTCATTTCAGATTGTGGTTACTTTCATTTCATGTCTAGTGAACTTTTTCCAGTGTGTCAGCTAAAAATCAGTTTGACTGTAATGCCCTCAGAATCCAATAACCTGTCTGATGTTTGACACTCAGTTGCATTTTGTTACACCCACTAAACAGTTCTAAAACGCCAGCTGTTTCTTTGCACCCTGGGATTAGCAAGTAAAAATCTGCCAAATTCCCTGATTAATAGCAATTACACACCGAGATGAGCCTCAGTTCTCTTAAAAATAGTAGTGTCGTAACTTTTTCTGTCCTTGTAAAGAAATCCATCATTCAAATTACTGCAATAAAGTACCATGGGATATTGGCTAGGTAAAGAAATTGTGTATGGATTAAATTGAAATGATGCAGGATAGCTTATTGTTTACTCCTTAGGGGGATGCATTCCCAGAGCTAAAGAAAGACCCAGATATGGTGAAGGATATTATTAATGACGAAGAGGAGCAGTTTCTGAAGACACTGAATAGAGGGCGTCGTATCTTAGAGAGGAAGATCCAAAGTTTGGGGGAAAATAAAAGAATTCCAGGTTTGTAAAGGAATTTAATAAACATTTATGTCTTGGTTTCTGAGTCGAGTATCTTGGTTTCTCTATTACTGAGAGGGTTCAGGGGTTTTTTTTGTGTTCTCTCATCCCTCGCTGACTAAAGCTGGAGGCATCAAGTCCTCAATAATGACTCATCTATCTGAGCAGAGACAGCAAAGGTTTGCAGAGCTACTTATGAGTAGTTTTAGTAGGGTAGATATGGAAGAACACTTTTCATGGGTAGGAGGATACACATTCTTGTTTACAGATCTCTCCATATTTCTTTAACTTCCCCCAAACAGTCCCCATGGATATCAAGCTAACTAGGTCCAAATCCCTAAAGCTCTCACGCGTGTGCTCTCGCTCTCACTCTCCCCTTTGTGCTCTCTTTCGCTCTTTCTATCTCTTTCTCTGTCTCCCCTTTGCTCTCTCACTCGCTCTCTCTCTCTCTCTCTCCCCCCATGCTCTTTCGTGCTCTCTCTCTCTCGCACGCTCTCTCTCTTTCTCTGTTTCCCCTTTGCTCTCTCACTTGCTGTCTTCCCTTTGCTATCTCACGCTCGTTCGCTCGCTCTCTCACTCTCTCTCTCTGTCTCTCTCCCCTTTGCGCTCTTGCTCTCCCCTTTGCTCTCTCGCACTCTCTCTCTGTCTCCCCTTTCCTCTCGCGCGCTCTCTCTCTCTGTTACCCCTTTGCTCTCTGTCTCTCTCTCTGTCTCTCTCTCTGTCTCTCTCTCTGTCTCCCCTTTGCTCTCTCGTGCTCTCTGTCGCTCTCTGTCTCTCTTTTGCTCTCTCGCTCTCTCTGTCTCCCCTTTGCTCTCTCGCAGTCTTGCTCTCTGTCTCCCCTTTGCTCTCTGTCTTGCTCTCTGTCTCCCCTTTGCTCTCTCACTCTCGCTGTCTGTGTCTCCCCTTTGCTCTCTAGCTCTCTCTGTCCCTCCCCACCACCCACACAGTCTCTGTCTGGTAAACCACCTGTGAAAATTCTTGAGATTATCTGCTATGTTGTTGTAGACCCACTTCTCAACTTCAAGCGGGTCCTTTGGGAAGGAAGGGCCTGGAGAAAATCAATCAAACTATCAGAAACAGAATAAAACCACTGTGATTAGCATTTGACGGCTGTAATTAGACAAATCAACCTGACTTGAATTTATCTATGATTTGTGTACTTAGAATTACTTTTATTGATGCACTCAATTTTCTATTTACATACAGTTTGAACTTGGGACTTGGGAATGGGCTGATCTGATTGTGGTCTCCACTCACTTTCCTGTCGACACGGCATAACCTTTTATCAGTCAAAAGTATGATTTGCTGAGCCTTGAATAAATTCAGTGTCCCTGTCTTCACTGCTCTGTAAAGGAGAATTCGATGTACTACTGACCTCTGAGTAAAACAGTTTCATGCATCTTCATCTTAAAAGGAAAATCCATTATCTTAAACTGCTTCCCTAGTTCCAGTTGCTCCATAAGAAGGTGGCCCCTATCAGCATCCACCCTGTCATGTTCCCTCAGCATCATGTATATGTTTCGATAAGCTCACTTCCCCCCTTCCAAATTCCTATGGATATAGGCCCAATCTGATTAACCTTCCATTTAGATAAGCCTTTCAACCCAGGAATGAGTTGAGTGAACATTCTCTGAATTTCTTCTAACGGAATTGTATCTATTTTCAAATAAGAAAACCAGAACTATACACAGTACTCCAAATGTGGTCTTACTGCAGTAGAGCTTCCCTACTTTTGCATTCTGTTACATAATGTGTGAAACACCAACATTGTTTTTCACTTGCTGTAGCGACAAATTGATATTTTAGGTTCATGAACCACGGTCCTGTTGGGTCACTGGATCAATTGAAGTATAAACTAGTTAGACATGCGGGTTTCTAATCATTACTTAAAATCTGTCTCAATCCAGGAAGACCTGAGCAATACCTTAAACTTTATTTCTGCCTCAGCGAACCTGAGTAAAGATAATCTCCTGCCTCAGATATTCACTCCTAATTTTTGCTGGAAAAAGCTTGCTGATTGATGTATGCTTAAGCTGTATCCAGTCATGATCACTGCATTCAGGAGAGAAAAGGGGGAGGGGAAAGGACCTATTGCCAATTCATGTTACGGCAAATGAAAATAAGAGTAATATTTTGATGCTTTCTACTCAGGCAGTGGTTTAATACAGTGATATGATTACTTTTTTCAGGTGACACTGCCTGGCTGCTTTATGATACCTATGGTTTCCCTGTGGATTTAACTGGGCTGATCGCTGAAGAGAAGGGCCTCATTGTCGACCTGGAGGGCTTTGAAAATGAGAAAAAGGCTGCTCAAGTGAGTTGATGCCTGCACCTGGGTCTTTTCTCACTGATGTGGGATGGTGGGTGGGCTGCTATCATTCTGACTCCTGAGAGATCACAAAGCTTGGTTCTGGTCCAGTCCTGAATGTTCTGGAAAGCTGTTCACATACCACTGTTTCTTGCAGCAATCTGCATCTGTTGACACTTTATAATACTAGAGAGAGCTCTCCCTGTATGTCTTACTATTTGTCCTCTCTTTGTAAACACATGCACAGGCAAAACACGAACACATTATCTTTGCCTGTAGTCAGGCAACAGTACCTTGCAGGCTGTTCCCCTTCATCACTCTCACTCAGACAGGTGCCTCATGGTCCTGGAAAGGGCACACAATCTCCACTGTTTTGCTAGAGCCCACCAGGGCCCAGTCACAATAGACTGACTTACAGACTTTGATGTCATCTCTGATTTAATAGGCATGGTTCCTTTTGGTTTTATTGGGGTAATGTATTTTATTTTGGTATCTGTTGGTTTGTTTGCACCCGATGTTCCATCGCCGTGTCAGTAAAATAGTAGTTTATACAGTAGACTACTTGTGGGTACAGGTTTTGATTTTGTCACCAGCCATTGTGCGTTTGGGTACTAGGCAAAATAAAATACAGAAAAGGACTAGGGAAGATAAATTGTCAAGCTCTGATAGTCCATTATAGGGAATCTCTAAAAGCACTGGCGAGAATAGGAATAAGGCTGATTTGGTTCCGGTGTTCAGAGTTATGCAACAGGCATGGGCAACTCCAGATCCATTCACTCTAAATTAATGGAGTTAATTATCAGAAGTAAAGTTGATTTTCTGCTTAACAATAATCCAGTCTGCATGAATGCAAAACAGATAAATCCCATCCACCCAATTTACTTGATCTCTTTAAGGAAGTGACAAGCTAATGCACCATAGAAGAATTGTACTAAGTCTTGTTTATCCAGTTTCCAATAGAATGGCAGTGGAACACATTGTGGAGCCTGTAATCGGCCTTTTCAGATAAAAGCAATGTACTGGGATAATGGTGATCTGAAATAAAAACAAAGTGCTGGAGAAACTCAGCAGGTCTGGCAGATCTCTGGTGAGAGACGTCAAGTTGATATTTTGAGCATGACTCTTTCAGAATTTGTTTCTCTCTGCACAGATGCTGCCTGACCTGGTGAGTTTCTCTGGCGCTTTGCTTTTAATTTTAACCAACCTGTCAACCTGCTTGAAGATCTTTCAGTGCTTTAAAGAAACAGTAATTTTGCACCTCTGTTTTTAAGGTTTTGGATCAGATTTGTCTGTGTAAATGACTGTTTTTGGTTTAAATTTGCAGCTGAAGTCTCAGGGTAAGGGTATGGGTGATGATGACCACATCATGCTGGATGTCAATGCCATCGATGATCTGCGTGCCAAGGGCTTTGAGGCCACTGATGATTTGCCAAAATACAACTACACGTCAGATGAGAATGGAAACTATGGTAATTTCAGCATTATTGCTGTGACTTGGAAAGCATGTTTCTGTGGAGGAAATGGGTTTTAACATTCTTTTTGAGGGGAGGAGGCGAGGGTGGGGGGAAATAGTTCCATTTCTGCCAAGTACCACAAAACCCCATGAGTGCCAGTAGAACATTTGACTGTGGGAGATGTTGAATACAAGCTCAGGTCCAAGAATAATAGGAAGCAGTGTCTACTGGAGTGTATCCTAGGGTATTGGTTTTCACCTCCATGAGGATCCTGAGCCTAGTGATGTTTCTACTATTTACCTCTGCTTAAGCCCAGTTTGTGTATGACAGACCAGGCACCAACATTAGGACCTTTCTGATTTGGGCATTATTTGGTTGGACTTACTTGGCCATAAGGGTAGTGTCATGCAGATTTAATTTTGCATTGTATTTTTGAGATCTCCAGTGGTGCAATCCAAACACTAAGAGTATTTGACCTTCACATTAAAACAAAATGCCTTTGAGGCAGTGGCCATCTCAGTGGAATTTGGGAATTGAGTGAAGATAGTAAAAGAAAGAACTGCTGGAAATCTGGAGCAAAAACTGAAATTGCGAGAGAAACTGAGCAGGTCTGGCAGCAACTGTAGAGAGAAAGCAGAGTTAATGTTTCGAGTCCAGTGACCCAGTTCTGAAGAAGGGCGCTGGACTCAAAATGCTAACTCCGCTTACTGTCCGCCAGCTGCCAGACCTGCTGAAGATCCAGCCTAGTCTGGTTGTGAAGATCTTGCCTGAATTGGACGTCCTGAAAGCCAGTTCTCAGCAAGCACAGGCCCATAGCTCAAATTTGGCTCTATTTAGAAGGCCTGGCCACAATGGGGTGCCTGGAATGGAATGTTACTCTGATCTCATACTGTGATCCATTGTTGGGACAGAGAAACCCAACACCATCAGCATGGTGCCAAAGCAGGACTTAAAGATGAAACTCCATGCCGGTATCAACGGAGATATTTCATTCCTTGCCACAAGTTGTCAGGCGAGCAAGTTGAAATATGTTGCATTCTGTTTCCACCTTGCTTCAGCACTGTTAAGAAATGGTATTGTGAATTAGTCCCTCAAAAAGTCACCAAATTTAGATATTTAGTTGGAGGTTGCATTTACATGCAGGTCCTCCTTAATTTGACATTTGGATATTAACTGTTTGATCTCTTTCAAGACACCTTAGGAGAATATTCTGTCCATTATTCCCTCCGAGGGCATTGTGGGTCTGCCTACAGCACATGGACTACAGTTTTTCAAGAAGGCAGCTCACCGCCACCTTTTTTAGGACGACTAGGGACAGGGAATGAATTAAGTCCAGAGAGCAACAGCCATGTCCCACAATTGAATAAAAGAACATTAATCCTGCCTGTCTTTGATAGATCAACCAAACCACCTACCAATTCACTATACTCTTTGACATCACCATTTTTTAAAGATCGATCTAATTACTTACTTTATTCTTGAATGAGATGTGGGCATTTTGGCAAGGCTGCATTTGTTATCCATCCCTATTTGCCCTGGAATTGAAAGGTTAGCTTGGTCATTAGATTGATTCTGGGAATGAGTGGGTTGCGGTTGGACAGGCTGGGTCTGTTTCCTTTGGGGTTTCTGAGAATGAGGAGTGACTTGAAGATGGTAAGATCCTGATTGGTCTTGACATGGCAAACATGGCAGTGATGTTTTCTCTTCTGGGTGAGTCCAGAACTTGGTGGTGGTGGTGGAGATGGAGATGGAGTAGTCATCCGAGTTGTGCGACTTTGAAATTCTGTGCCTTCGAAGGCATTAGAAGTGGGGCCATTAAATATTTTTAAGGCAAAGATTGATTTTTGTTCGGTAGGGGTATCAGAGGTTATCGGTGGGTAGGCGAGAATGTGGAATTCAGAACGCAACAGCTAAATCATGATCTTATTGAATGATGGAGCAGACCTAAGAGACCAAATTGTCTACTTTCTGCTCCTATTTCTCATGTTTGTGCCATTTATTCTTTTGGAGACAGTGTGCTGTGATACTGAATTAAGTCAGTAGTGTCTGACGTTCTGTCAGTTTCACCTGAGTACCTATACCAGATATTAAAGCTTCAACTGCTTCTAGCTTCTTGATTTTTGATTTGCACCCTCACGAAGTGATAGCTTACACCTGTAAAGAGGTTGAGCTCCATTTTTTGATCCTTTCCCTTCAAAACCGAGTATAGAGAAAGCTTTGTTGCTCGCTGTCAGGGGTAGGTTGTCTTAGAGAACGGTGTCATTGGAGCAGGGCACCTACATGCATTCTGGATTAATTATTTGAAAAGGGGAAACCAAGATGGAGTAAATAACGCTACCCAAAGAGAATATAAAATAACCTGTGCATAGTGGTAATTGCTCATATTTTGCTAGTGAAAACTCCTTTTGTTGAGGATTGGTGGTTTTATCTGAATGTCACTGCTGATTTTCTTTTATTGATAGTGACCAGATGCTTCTGGCTTTCTCTGCAGTTTTTGAATCCATAGAGGCCACAGTGAAAACGGTTCGCAGGGAGAAAACTTTCATGGAGGAAGTACAGACAGGCCAGGATTGCGGCCTGCTGCTGGATAGGACATGCTTCTATGCTGAGCAAGGTGGTCAGATTTACGACGAAGGCTACCTGATAAAAGTGGACGACAGCAGTGAAGATGTAAGGGATTTTAATTTTCTGTTTCGCTTACAGCTAGACAGTGGAACCAAGTTCATCGTGGGCTAATGGACCCCTCCTGACTGGATTTATGGTATTGTACAACTCCTTTGAACAATAAAGACACCGTCCTCCATTACGACTTGAAATATGTGTAATTCCAGATTAATACGGATGTTCTCCTGGTTTCTCAAGGGGCCAGTAAGATTGCTGCATTGACTTACCCAGACCAAGCACCATAGTCCTATCCGTCCAGGTGTAGCCTTTCACAGGAGGCACTGAGCAGAATCTAAAGGTGTCCCATAGACACTGAGGTCACTTGTCGTGCCCAAATTACTATCCAGCTGATCAACTAATTTGGCATGACAATTGAATTCATGATTATGTATATTTTTTCTACTTCCCCTTTATCATGTGGCCATTGTGTGGTTCACTCAATTGCACTCACCTTCTGCATATAGCCAGTATGTGCGTGAGAGATTTGAACTCTGAATTTCAGCAGGCTTTTGAACTATACATTGCATCACAGCCCACCCACCCCTCCTTCCCAAGGGCAGCATGTGCATGGATTATTCGAAGGCAGTCGGAGTGGGAACTCTTCCTGTACCTACCCAAAATCAATCATTTTACTTTGAATTCACTAGGCATGCTTATTGGTGTTCTGAATCCAATTCACTGTCATTTTTTCCACAGAAAACTGAGTTCACAGTGAAAAACGTACAGGTACGAGGTGGCTATGTCCTCCATATTGGAACGGTTTATGGACAGCTGAAAGTAGGGGATAAAGTTCGTCTCTTCGTTGATGAGGTGATGCCCATTCATTAGATTTAAAATCTCGTAGTTTAATCTTCATTTCTCATTCAGCAGTCAGTGTGAAAGCCAAGTGAATGACTTGTGTCCCAGTTAATTGGGATGTGAATTTCATACCACTTCAATCTATGGCTGGAAATTATTTTAAAATCTTACAATTACATAGCCACAGAATTGATGCAGCATCAAAAGAAGCCATTAGGCCCATCATGTGTGCACTAGCTCTCCACATGAGCATCTCATGAAGTGCCATTTCCTTGCCTTCTCCCAAAAACCTTCACGTTCTTCCTTTACAGATAAGTCTAATTAGTATTTGACTACCATGATTGAACTTGCCTTCAACATATTGTCAGATGTATTCCAGATCTTAACCATAGGCTGTGTCAAGAGGTTTTCCCTCATTTCACCATTTCCTTCTTTTGCCAATTGCTTTGAGTCTGCGTTCTCTTCACAAAATCTTTTCCTAACTGTCCTTTCTAGACCCTTATGATACCTATTGAATCTCCTTTCAGCTTTGTCTTTTCCAAGGACAACAGCCCAAACCTCTCCAATCTATCTTTATAAGTGAAATTCCTTATTTTGGGCACCTTCCTCTTGAATCTTATCTGCACTCTTTTTTTTTCATTGCTTTCGCATCTTTCCTAAAGTGTAATGCCCAGAACAGGATACTGAAGCTGAACTAGTGCTTTAAACAAGTTCAACGTGAGAATTCTACAACTTTTGTAATTTATTTTCCATTCAGGCCAAGAGGCGATCTGTCATGAGTAATCACACTAGCACCCACATGCTGAACTTTGCTCTGCGGTCTGTGCTGGGCGAGGCTGACCAACGGGGCTCTCTGGTGGCACCGGATAGGCTGCGTTTCGATTTTACAGCAAAGGGAGCAATGAGCACTCAGCAGATCAAAAAAACTGAAGAGATCACATGCAAAATGATTCAAGAAGCTAAGGTAAAGTACTCGACGTTTATGATCCCACCAGTTCAATTAAAAAGTTAAACTTGGTGGTTTTAACTCTTTTTGTATCAGAAAACAGAGGAAGTAGAGGATGGTCAGCACATTTCATTTCGAATCGATGGCTTGTTTTTGATTCTGAACTGACTCATATTTCTTCCTTTTAAATTCATTGCTGTAAGCCAGGTACAGAATACCATGTATGCAGTTGTATTATGGAGTAACTATGTGTATGGAAAAGCAAGCTAATTAAGAAATTATAACATATATTAATATGAGACATTGTTCATTCGGACACTGAGGTTCTTTACACGTGCCTAAGCAGCATAAATTGTTACTTGTGCTTGCTGTTTTTTATAGGATATCAAGTGATACAGTGGTTAACCCACTGCCTTTTTGGCTCTGGGTCCCAGTTTCAAAAGCAGCTTAGGCTGATGAGTTGAATGAAATGATGAGCCACTATCTGGTGGCTGTAAAGGTTTTACACCAAATGTGTTTGAAAAGTACAAAACAAAGAATCGCAGATGCTGAAGATCTGAAACAAAAGCGGAAATTGCTGGAGAAACTGAGCAGGTCTGGCAGCATCTGTGGAGAGAAAGCAGAGTTAACATTTCGAGTTCAGTGACCTGAAGAAGGGTCCCTCTGCTTTCTCTCCACAGATGCTGCCAGCCCTGCTGAGTTTCTCCAGCAATTTCTGTCTTTGTGTTTGAATAATCTTGTTTGCTCTTCACAAAGCTACTATGAAATTGCCCTTTGCAGACAGAAGGGACAAGGGTGGTTGATATACAAGATACTATAGCTTGAGTGGGTTGGCTGTCAACCAAGAAGTGAAAGAGTAAGGAGAACTTTTCGTAATTACTGTATCTGATGAGGAGAGTCCATTTCTTTGAGCAGAGGGCTTCCATTTCCCACTTCTAACATCCCTCACTTTGAGGAGTACAAAGTTGTTTTGTTCTCCCACATTGAAATTTTATGAGAAATTAAATTTAAGCCATTAAATTTTTTACTTGCACTGGGATTCTCAGTAACTTCATATATATTTCCTCACAGCCAATTTATGCCAAGGATGCTGCCCTTGCTGCAGCAAAGGCTATTCAGGGTCTTCGTGCCGTATTCGATGAGACATACCCCGACCCAGTGCGAGTGGTGTCTGTGGGGATCCCGGTGGAGGATATGCTGGCTGACCCATCAGGACCAGCGGGCTCTATTACTTCAGTCGAGTTCTGCGGTGGAACGTGAGTGCAATGCCTGAAGTACAGGGTAAAAGAGGATTTCACCGGTCTAAAAAAAGTGTGTGTGTGGGGGGGGGGGGTGCGTGGTGGATCAAGGTGAAAATGTATTCAATTGAATCTTTCAAGGTCACTTGGCAGTCTACAGGGAAGCACAGACTAGCTAGAGCTGCACTATTGAAGGAGAGTAGAATTGCTGTCAGTCCACTGTCTGGGCTCACATAAAGACCAGTTGCTTATTCTTTTTGGATAAGATGTTAAACACTATCTGCCATGAAGAGTCACAGTGTCAGGTCAGCACAGAATGAGGTTATTCTGTCCATTGGGTCCATGCACTTCTTTGTAGAGTGATCTAGTGTGTCCCATTCCTGTGTTCTCTCCCTGTTGCCCTGCAGGTTTATTTCCCTCCAATGCCCATCCATTTGCCTTTTGATATCATTGATTGTCTGTGCTTCCATTAGTGGGTTGCAGGTCATTACCAATCGCTTCGTTAGAAAAGTCTTCCTCTCCATCTTCCTTCATCTCTTGCCCAAACCTTACATTTGTGTCCTTGCAAGATCAGCTTATGAGGACAGCTCCCTTGTCTACCTTCTCTAAACCTGTTATGATCTTGTACAGCTCTTTAAAAAGAAAACACCCTTTAACCTTCTTTGGTCTAAGCAGAACAATCCCAGCTTCTCCAACCTTGTCTTGTAGCTAAATTCTCTCATCCCTAGAACTACTCTGGTAAATCTCCTCTGTGCATGCTCTCAAACTCACTCGCATCTTTCCCAAAATGTGGTGACCACAGCTGGTCTGATTAACATTGTCTAATTCCGACTGCCATTTCATTTTGCACTATTTTAGTATGATCAAGGATGTGCTCCCTAGTTTCCTTGCCTTGCAATGCAAGGAGTTGTTCTGATAGGGCTGTGTCCTTTTAAAAGCCTAAACCTCTGGGAAGAAAAGAATTGGCTTCTTAAAATAGAAAATGTATTTTTTTTTTCTCTGGTTTTAGTACTTCTCTGCCTTTTCTTAGCAATTTTGGTGGCATTTGTCAACGAGCAGAACTCCTTGCTTTTGTTCCTGACTCTACCTAGCCCTCGTTCCACAAAACACTTTTGTTTGGTGCAAAGTTTTGCTTTCCCTTCCAGTGTTCCGTCACAAAATGGGTACGGCCTGGAAATTTGCTGTCCACCAGAGTCATAGATATTTCCTAATGTTTTGAACAGTGGTTCCACACTTCTTCAGAACCCATTGAAAGTGTTGTGGCTTCGTTGATTAATATTGTTGTAAATGCTGTAACGACTTAACTGAGAATGTTACGCTGATGATGGTGCCCAACTGAACTGATTTGCATGACTGACTGCTTCAAGACTGCATCTGGTTTCTTCAGAAACAGACTATAACTCTTTGCCGTAACATACTGAATTTTAACAAATGGCAGAAAAAAAAACAAGGGATTACTAATTAATTACTATGTGACTTAAACAATGCTCCTTTAAAAGCCTTCAAATACACAGACATTCATGAATAAAACAGACAAAAGACACACTTTATGACACATACAGATGGGTGGAAAAAGCGAACGATGTTTAAAGATCAGAACACGAAGATGGATTAAATATCCCTCGCAATTTCTTTTTGATTTCAGGACTGATGACGCACTGTATATATCTGTAAAGCAATGATTGTTCTTCGTGTCGATGGTTGAATCTGTGGACGTAGGACCTTTATTGTCACAATTCATTCTTTCAAGCATTCTTGATTTTTATTTTTGTCTTTTCACTCACACTGGAAGCGAGGGAGGAGAAATGTTTGGCAGCTCTGGAAATCTCCACTGCTGGGCACCTACAGATTTAATACAATTTGCTACTGAACCAATCCAAAAGCTGTTGTCAGGCAGTTTTTCCTTAACTCAAAAACTCCCGATGCTGTTCTCAGTCAGTAATATATCATTCTCCTGCTTCAACAGCAACATTGCATGGTTAAAATTGTGCACCACTTGATTTTTTTCCCATTTCACAAAACCCTGTTGGTGTTTCAGCCATGTAGCAATATCTAACTTCTATTCCAGTTTATAGTTCAAAAAGGAAAACAAAAAGTGTCAAGCTTGTGAAACCCAGACAGTTGTGACCTGCACAATTGCTGGATATTTTGACTGTAGAGCTTAGGCACAAGAGAATATGTTCTGCTGAGTTCCCTTCGTTGTGGTAATTACCTTGATTTTATTTAGACACTTACAGAACTCTCGCCATGCCGGTCCTTTTGTGATTGTATCAGAAGAAGCTATCGCTAAGGGCATCAGGAGAATAGTAGCTGTCACAGGATCTGAGGCTCAAAAGGTTGGTGGGTGTGCTTAATGAATTTTGACCCTTAGGCAGCTGGAAGCTGTGGGGGATTTGGGTCTCCTTTTGGCAGGATGACTCTTGGATTACTGTGTTTTGTTTAATCTAATTATTTAAAAGAAAATGTTTTCAGCTTCCTTAATGTTGCCAGTGCAAGCTCTACCCTTATGGTAATATGCCTAAAGGGCCATATCTTCTGATGAGTAAGTGTTCTACCCAATTTGTAAATGAGCCATGGATCAGAGTTCCCCTACATTGACTCTCTAAATTGCCTGATGCTCTCAATCGAAGGAGAGACTAGGATCTACAAACAGCTGTCTGGGTTACTGAGAAGAGAATTTGGTCTAAGTTTTTAATTCTCGTCACTGACCAATGATCCCTGCTGAAAATGGACCTTCTTGGGTGTCAGGTGATAGTGAGATTACTTTGAGCTATGATATAATGCCTGGTATGGCTGAATTCCATATTCACACTCGTTGTCTAGACTCATACATAAGGAATAGCCTTCGGGCAAAGTGCTAGTGTGCTACTGATCCTCGTGAAATTATAGCTTACGATAGTCAATCTGAGGAGAGGAAAGATAATTATTGACCTTTTCAAAATTATTCAAGGCTCGAGGTTTTCAAAAAAGCAAGCAGTCTTTATATCTGTTTTGTGTGTCAAATATCTTGCGCTGTTTCTTGTGCACTTTTAGAATTTCTCCTTAATACTGTTTCTCATGTGCTAGTTCTTTGCGTCCTATGCAATTTCATTTATATGCTCTGCATCTCATTCACAATAACTCTCAACCATGGTTGAAAGTGTGGTGTCTCTAGTACACACTCCTGCTTTTCTCTAATCCATGCTTGTTGCACCTTTTGCAGACATTCCAAGTATGCTTCTGTTTTATTCAAGTTTTCTGCTAGCTATATTAAAACCGAAAGAACTGCGGATGCTGTAAATCAGGACCAAAAACAGAAGTTGCTGGAAAAGTTAAGCAGGTCTGGCAGCATCTGTGAAGAAAAAAATCGTCACCCATTCTGAGGAAGGGTCACCGGACCCGAAACGTTAACTTTGAATTTTTTTCTTCACAGATGCTGCCAGACCTGCTGAGCTTTTCCAGCAACTTCTGTTTTTGTTTCTGCTAGCTATGTCTCTCTCATGTCCTGTCCCTCTTACATGCTCACTGTCTACTGGAGAATTTCCTTTGTGTGTTTATCACATGCACTGTTCCATGTCTTCCTCCTGCTCTCTCCCATATGTTTTAGTTATGGCTGTTGTTTGCGCATCCCAGGTTGGTGTCAAGTCATTCGAGTTATACTGATTATTCATTGGATGTACTAAGAATATTGCAGGGCTTGAATGTGACTTGAATGCCATTGTCTTCTTTAGGCACTAAGAAAGGCAGACATGCTACAGAATTTTCTTGTTCAACTAGAATCAAAGGTCCAGATCCAGACATCTCCCAATAAAGAGATCCAGAAAGAGATTGCAGATCTCACGGAGGTAAACGAGAAATATGCAAACAAGAATTCTGCATGCTCTTTAACTTAATATATTCTAAAGGTAGGTTTGAATATAGAGTTACAAATGGATTTTAAAAATTATACTTGAATGATTGAATGCTACTTTCAAGACTAGTCCTCCGAACAGGCCAGCAAGTGTGGAATCCCTGGAATTATTGGAATGGTATCATTTGAGTGAGAGGGAAATAGTGGTATCTTTATGGGCACACGGAGTTGGATGAATCTTCCTGTTTTTCTGTGCCTAATTTTGGAATATTTGTCTCACTGATGTTCCTTTTTAAATTATTTTTCTGCGACTTTGTCATGAACAACAGCATTATTTGGATAAGATCCCATTAAAGCTGACATGCATCAGTCTGCAGCTTAAACTAAACCACCAGACCAAAGAATGATGAAATTAACAAAGATTGAACTGGTTAAAATAACCCACCTATGGTCCCAAACGAGAGGGCCCTGACAATAATATGAAGTATAATGGATCATGTGGAGTGAGACAAGGATGAAAGGTGTGCGAATGACCTCTGGATGAAGGGTTATCAACACATCTAATTAGGAAAGCACTTTTACATGACAAAACGTCCAGAGGCACTTTACAGATGAGATAGGAGAGATGGTGTGACAAATATCCAAAGACCAGCCAAAGTGGTGGGTTTAAGGAGAGACTTGAAAGGGTTTGTGGGGGTAATATAGCAAGCTGGAGAAGTTGACTGAGCTCAACTGTAGAGGTAATACTGAAGGCTGTAGATTGGCAGGACAGAACACACTGTTTTGGAGGCTAAAGAGCATAGTTTCAGATTGCGAAAGTGGAATGTGACAGCTTTGTTTTTGAGGCGCTCAACTGTGATCAGTTTTGGCCCATTTATAATTTGATACAGGACACCCCTATCAGACAACGCTTACTTTTTTTACCTCTGACTGGAGGAAAAGCCAGAACTGAAGCTAATGAGTCAAATATTTTAAAATTAATGAGGCATAAATCAAATTTTGCTTTAGGTTCTTGAGTGGCTCAGTGAGTAAATGGAGGAGAGCACTGAGCCATGTAAACACAAGATTGGTCAGGCTGCTAACGATGGCCTCTGCTCCCCTTAGCTGTACAGGAGAGGGAATAGCAGCACTTGGAAAAGTGTGTGTCTTTGAGAACAAGGCAGGATTCTCCTGTGACGCCATTTCCTGTGAATAGTCTGTTACAATAACATGAAGAATTTCTACTGGGTACAATGGAGGGGTGGTTTCTAGAGTCTATAACTGTCGTCCATTAGCCCAAAAATAGTTCAGATAATTGGTGAAGGTTCTCTTAAAGAGCATATTGGAATGGCTCTGCCAACAAGAAGTCGCATTTACACAGCATGTTTTAATGTAGAAGAAACTATTCTGAGCCACTTAGCAAAAGTGCTCTGGGTTTTAAAGAAACACTTCTGAAACCAAGCCAAAGGAAGATAAATCGGGTCAGAGAAATAAAACCTTGTTCGAAGAGATATATTTTAAGGACTATCTTTAAAGAAGGACAGTGGTGGAGATGTTTACAGAGAGAATGAGGGTCAAGGAAGCTGAAAACAGCTGGTGAACGTGGAGAGTCAAAAGCAGAGCTATACAACAGCCCAAAATTGGAGGAGTGCTGCGATCTCAAAGACATGGAGAGGGGAAGACCATGGAGGTAACCAGTAGAATGATTCGAGGGTCCTTTAGAATAGCACATAATTGCATTGGGATTTTCCCTTGTTTCTGTTTAATTTTAGATGATTAGTGCTGCAGTCATTCCACAGTGGCAAAAAGATGAGCTGAGGGACAAGCTGAAATCACTAAAGAAGATTATGGATGATCTGGACAGAGCCAGTAAAGCTGACTTGCTGAAGAAGGTGAGTAATCAAATCCATGATGGTGTATGAGTTAATTCCTCTCTGAATAGTATTTACTGCATCACTCCTAAGATCTTTATGGAGGATGAGAAATGATACTGAATGTTCTCTTTAAGGAAACTCTGATGTTCTCTTCATAAATTCTTACTGGATGAACTATCATGGAAAGCCATTAGATGAAGGATAGTACAGGAGTCAACCTTTAGCGGTTTTGCAGTTACGTGAAGCATTATAAACACTTGCCTCCTATCTCGGCCATGCCACTTTCTGAGAATGACTGTTTCTGTCTGTTCAAGTGGAATCCCAATTAATGCTCACCACCTGCTTATTATTAAACATGATTAATATGCAATTCACAGAATTGTCACGGGGTACAGAGAAGGGCAGTTGGCCATTGTATTTGCACCAGTTTTTAGTGCCATCCTTCTGCAGCCGTCTCTAATTCTGCACATTGTTTATAATCAAATAACAATCTAATGTCCTCTCGAATGCCACCATTAAACCTGCGTCTACTGCACTTCTCCTCTCAGTTTATTGCTTCAAAGTTCTGTATCATGCAACCTCCGAAATTGTCCCCTGCACTCCAAGATTTAGATCATTACTATGAATCAAGAAAAGCAAGGGCCCCCATACCAAATCCCTGGGGAAATCCACAACAAATCTTACTTCAGCCTGAAAGATCTCCATTGCTTTCTGTTTCCTGTCACTTAGACAACTTTTTATCTACGTTGCTACTGTCCCCTACATTCCATGAGCTGTAACTTTGCGCAAAGGTCTGATATGTGGCACTGTATCAAATGCTTTTTGAAAGTTCACACACCACATCACAGCATTACCCTCATAAAACCTCTGTGTTACTTCTTCAAAGAACTCTAGCAAGCTAGTTAGACATGATTTTCCATTAAGAAATCCATGCTGGTTCTCCCTAGCTAACATTTGTCCATGTGGCTATTAATTTGGTCCCGAACTTTTGTTTCTGAAGTTTCCTCCCGACTGAGCTTAAACTGACAGGTTTGTAATTTCTGAACTTTTCGTTGTATCTTTTTTATGCCAGGATGTGCTATTTGTAATTCTTAGTCATCTGGCACCAACACCAATTCCCGAACCGCACCACCCCACCCGAAAGATTGTGGCCAGTACCTTTGTAATTTTCACTAACCTTTCCTTCAGTATCATTGGATGCATCGGAACTGGTCCACGTACCTTGTCAACACTTTAATTACCAGCAGCTTATCAAATACCACCTTATTATCAATTTTAGGTAAGGTGTAGAGCTGGATGAACACAGCAGGCCAAGCAGCATCAGAGGAGTAGGAAAGCTGATGTTTCGGGTCTAGACCCTTCTTCAGAAATTATCAATTTTGAACGCTTCTAGTGACTTGAGTTTCCTCTATCACCATGACCTGGGTAACATCTGCTTTGGTAAAAAGACATGTATAATATTCATTTAATACCTCAGTCATGCACCCCACCTCCATGTGTAAATTTTCTTTGATTTTTGATTTGGTCTTTATGATAGGTCTTGTTCCTCCTTTGACCATTGTTTTCATTATTTATGTGCCTGTGGAAGACTTTGGAATTCTGTTTTATGTTAGCTGCCAGTTTCTTTTCATTTGCCTTCTTATTGGCTTTTTAACACTGGGCTTTGCTCAGCATTATTCACTTAGTGTATGTAAAGTACCCCAGTGTTATACACTGATAAACCTGTCCCCACCAGTAGTGTACCCCAGTGTTATACAGAGACGGACCTGTCCCCACCAGTACTGGGCCCCAGTGTTATACAGAGATGGACCTGTCCCCAGTGTTAGACAGTGACAGAATTATCTACACCAGGATTGGGCCCCAGTGTTATAACAAAGTACTGATAACAAAGATGCTATTCGATTATCTGTTTATCTTGGTTCCATCTGGATAGGGCATTCTCGATGATTCCGCACAGAGTTTCATGGATCTTGGAGGGTTACAGGACTGGAGCAGACCATGAATTGATTTCAAAACAAGGATGAGCATTTTAAAATGAAATTGTTGCCTCACTGGAAACCAATATCATGCAGGGAAGCTGGGTGAATGGGAGTTGGTGAGTGTTAGGAAGCGGGCAGAAGAGTTTTGTATGAACTCAAGTTTATTTCATGCATCTGTGGTATTGAGGCAGGGTAAGGTCAGAAAGAAGTGGAAATAGGTGGTGTAAGTCACTCTGAGATAGCAAGAACTGCAGATGCTGGAGTCAGAGTCAACACAGTGTGGAGCTGGAGGAACACAGCAGGTCAGGTAGCATCAGAGGAGCAGGAAAGTCGGCGTTTCAGGTCGGGATCCTTCATCAGAACTTCATCTGTTGACTTTGCTGTTCCTCTGATGCTGCCTGACTGGCTGTGTTCCTCCAGCTCCACACTGTGTTGACCAGGTGATGTAAGTGATGACACAAGTATGTGAAGTATGGCAGAAGTATTAAGACCGGTTTATAAATTTCCTTTTGGTTCATCTCCCTTTCATTCTCCAAAGAGCCTGGTTTTTAACATCTGTGTCTTTGTATTTGCCTGAATCATCTTCCTACGATGAAGAAGTGCAATAATCAGATCATACAAACAAGTGACTTGAGCAGGAGTAGGCCATTCAGCCTTTCAAGTCTGCTGTGCCATTCAGCAAGGTCATGGCTGATCTAATTGAACCTCAAAACCTCATTCCCGCCTACCCCAATAACCTTACATTCCCTTAACAAATCAGGATGACAGAATTGTTATGATGCAAAAGTATCAGGTCTGTACTGGCACTCTGAGCTTTTTAACTCAGTGCCACCCCTTCCCTGTGACCCTGCCCTCTTGAAAACTACACTTGAACCTGCCCCACAACACTGAGGCAGTGTGTTCCAGATCCTAACTACTCACCGAGTGAAAATGTTTTTTCTCAACTTTCATTTATTTCTTTTGCAAAACCTTTGAAATCTGTGCCCTGTCTTTCTTCACCCAATTATGAATGGATACAGTTTCTCCCCATCTTCTCTATCCAGGCCCTTCATGATTTTGAACATCATGCTGTTTGGTTCTTGACCTATTTAGGAGTGGGAAGAGTTTCTCCCTAACCGTTCTGTCCCAACACCTCACGATTTTGAAAACTTCTATCAGATCTCTTTAGCCTTCTCTCCAGTTAGAAACAGCCCCAACCTCTCCAATATTTCCTCATCCCTGAGGTCAAACACCTGGAACCATTCTCGTAAATCTCTTCTGCACGCTCCCTCACGTACTCACATTCTTCCTATAATGTGGCACCCAGAACCATACACCATACTCCAGCTGAGGTCTAACATAACCACCCCTGCCTTAAACATATTCAAGGGCTCTGTTTCCACCCTCTTCTCAGGAAGACTCTTGATCCTCCGTTTTAAATGGGCGACCTCTGATTTTTAAACAGTGATCCTTATTTCAAGATCAACCTCTCCACATCCACCCTGTCAAACCCCCTCAGGATCTTGTATGTTTCAATCAAGTTACCTTTTATTCTTCTAGTGGATACATACTTAGTCTGTCCAACCTTTCCACATGAGACAACCCACTCTTTCCACTTATTAGTCAAGTTAACCTTCTTGGAACTGTTTCCATGGCATTAACATCCTTCCTTTGATAAGGTGAGTACTCTAGACCACATCTAGTGTACCCTGTTTCTCTGAAGCGTAATCTTCCTACTTTTATAGTTAATTTCTCGAGATAAATAATCACGTTCTGTTAGCCTACCTAATTACTTGCATGTTAACCTGCTGCAATTCATGCACGAGGACACAAAGATTCCTTTGCACCTGAGCTCTGCAATCTCTCGCCATTTAGACAGTATGTTTTCAGTTGTCATTATTTGTGATGGTTCATTACTTTGACAGGTACGGGAGAAGACGAAGCAGTTCATAGATACTAATCCAAACCAACCACTGGTTGTCATGGAAATGGAAGCAGGGGCACCAGCCAAGGTGAGGAAAGCATTCTGAACAGTATCTGCAGTGGTATTTAAGTGCTGCTTGATTTAAGAATGAATAATAGTTAGTCTGACCTCTGTATTGTGCTGTTCACAACAGGCGCTGAATGAAGCTCTGAAGCTGTTTAAGACACACTCCCCCCAGACAGCAGCAATGCTGTTTGCTGTGGACATTGATGCAGGAATGATCACATGCTTATGTCAAGTGCCCCAGGTAAAGACAGTTATTTGAATGCTGCAAATTCATGCCCACAGGGACTTGTTTAAAGGGACTGATTGGATCTAATTCTGCTAGTTTTCTTCAAAAAGTTGGATCAGACAATTTCAGTTAATCAAAGTTACAATGTGCCGTTAAGAATTTACGTTCTGTTAAGAGTTTCAAGACTGAACACAATAAAACATTTAAAGCTGGTACACAAGAGTATTACCAGATTAAGGTTTATACAGAGATATTAGGACAGGTAACCATGGGCTTGGTCAGAAATATCATAAGATGTAGGAGCAGAAGTAGGCCATTCGGCCCATTGATTCTGTCAGCCATTGAAATCCACTATCCTGCTTTTTCCCCATAAACCTTAATTCTCTTACTGATTAAAAGTCTGTCTTAGCCTTGAATATACTTAATGACCCAACCTCAAAAGCTGTTTGTGGTAAAGAATTCCTCAGACTGACTACTCTCTGAGAGAAAAAAAATCCTCCTCATCTCTGCCTTAAATGGATCACCCCTTTTTTCTGAGATTGTCTCCTTTGGTCCCAGAAGGGGAAACGACCTCCATATCTACCCTGTCAAGTCCTCTTAGAATCTTAGGTTTCAGTAAGATCACCTCTCATTGTTCTAAACTCCAATGAGTACAAACCCAAACTACTCAACCTCTCCTCATATACCTAATATCAGCCTAGTGAATCTTCTCTGGACTGCCTCCAATGTCAATCTATCTTTCCTTGGATGAGGGGACCAAAACTGCTCACAGTTTCCTTTTATACTTCGTTCCTCTTGAACTACGGGTCAGCATTCTATTTGCTTTCTCTATTTCGTTCCAAACCTGGATGCTAGCTTTTGTGGCTTATGCACGAGAACCCTCAAATCCCTTTGCAATGTACCTTTCTGCAGCCTTTCTCCATTTAAGTAATATTCAGTTTGTTCCAGTGTGCATAACCTTGCGTTTCCCCTCATTATATTCCGTCTGACAAATCTTTTGCCCACTCACTTAATCTGTCTATATTTTCTGTAAACTCATGTATCATCCTCAGTATTTGCTTTCCCAACTATTTTTGTGTCGTCTGCAAACTTGGGCAATAGTACATTCTATTCTGTCATCCAAGTCATTAACATATATTGTAAATAATTGTGGCCCCAGCAGTGAAACCTTTGGCAGCCCACTAGTTACAGGTTAACATCTCAAAATTGCCCCTTAGCTACAACTGTTTGTCTTCTGTGAGTTAGCCAGTCATGTATCAATGCTATTACACTACCCACAACACCATGGGCTCTTATCAAGCAGCTCTATGTGAAGCTCATTATTGAGTGCCTTTTGGAAACCCAAACATGTTATATCTATTGGTTCCCCTTTAACTACCCTACTTGTTAACCTCTTCACAGAATTCTAGTAGAGTTGCCAGTGGTGATTTCCTCTTCCTGATGCCCTGCTGACTCTACTTGATAGATTCTAACATTTTCCTGGTCACAGACATTAATCTAACTAGCTTAAAGTTACTTTTTTTTTTGTCTCCCTTTTTAAACAATGTTGTCACTTTCCAATCCTCTGGGACTTTTCCAGAATTGAAAGATTCTTAGAAGATTACTACCAAGGCATCTACTATCTCTGATTACTTCCCTCAAATCTTAGGGTGCAACCCAAAGGATTTATTGGCTTCCATCACATGTTTTCCCAAGTATTTTTTTTCTCTCATGATGGTTATTGTTGTTTTATTCTTCCCCCAGCCCTTGAACATTTAATAATTGAAGACGTTAGTGTTAAGAAGAGAAACGCTGAGAGGTTTAGGGCAAGCATTGCAGTGTTATAGCAGATGAAGGCATGACTTCCAGTGGTGGAAGTGACAAACAATAGGGAGGCCAGGATTGGAGGAAAGAGACGAACTTGGTTCAGTGTCTAGGTGTTTGAGAGCAATGATTCATTGTTTGATAATATTGTTAATCTCCACTTGAAGGCTGTGGCAGTAATGATTCTGTACCTTCTGTGCCCCTTGATACTTCATCGCAGGAGTTACTCCTCATCCTTTAGTGAGTTTCAGTAGACTGATCCACCACGAGGTGTGTAACGTTCAAGCCCAGTCTAGTCATCATCTGCCCTGCACCCTTTCTCTGTACGTGACCCAACAGGGTCCAGTGATCAGCAGTCAAAGACAGAGTTTTACCTTTGTTGATCATAAGGAGCTGATTTCAGTTGTTGCATCCCAGCTACGTGTTTCCTGAGACCCTAGTAATATAGGACTTAGGAGTTGGTGTAGATCTTTCAGGCTTTCTGTGCCATTCAGTGGCTGTTAGGTATTGAACCTGTGATCTGTAAGTCTCAGTCTCTCACTGCCACTTTTACAGTCAGGCCAGTGGGGGAGGCATAGCCTCAAAGTCCAAACATTGTACGTTGTGGAAAGCCCATCTTAAAAGCAGCAGGGTTACTGAGTTTTCATTTTGCACTATTTCTCCCTTTTTCATTACTAACCTTTTCAGGAGGTGGTAAGCAGGGGCCTGAAAGCCAGTGACTGGGTCAACCATATCTTGGATCTGCTGGACGGAAGAGGAGGAGGAAAGGACATGTCAGCCCAGGCCACTGGGAAAAACGTCACCAGCCTCGACAAGGCACTGAAGCTGGCAACCGAGTTCGCTGAGCTGAAAATAGGAGACCTCAAAAACTAGTCACAAATGTTGCAGTTAACATCACTTGAAAGACCGTCCATGCGGCCGGGGCTCTTCTGCTGCAGGGGTTTAGGGCCACTACTGCCGAGAGGTGTGGGTGTTGAGGGAGGTGCATTGTCACATTCTCCTCCAAGAAATCCTGCCTGTTAATGTTAAAACCGTGAACTTCTGTTTCACTAAGTCAATAGAACAGCTTAGTAATCGATCATCTCTGTAAAATCTTCAAACTGTTGCAATAAGGGACTGGCTGTGAGAAAATCTGTGTTAGCCTATTTAAAATGGCTCTAATTCATTAAAAGGATTTGCACCCATAAGCTTAAAGTAATACTGGTGTTGTACTGGTTACAGATTTGGAGTATGCTATTTATTTTCAGATTCAGATCACCTGTCTCTTGTTTGCTGCCTCATGATGATGCTGTCATTACCTAGTCATATGTAACCATTGTTCAAGACAATGTAAACAATAAAAACTCTTCATTATGTGAACGAGATATTGCAATCATGCTTTTGACTCTACATTGGACTTCTGTAATCTTCTAAGCTGTAGATTGATTCAGATCCTGGTGAAACACAACCAATTAGAAGTTGATTTATTCAATGTTATGTGTGAACATAAATACTAACACTTATTGTAAATCCTACCCCTTTTCAACTTTATTCACTAACTCTCCTTCAAATATTAAAAAAAAAACAAAGATTCACACTATCCCTGTTGGAGGTTGATTTTTACTTCATTGACCAGTTCTTCCTCCAGACCTGGTCAGACTGGTCCACAGGGGTCTAACCACTTTAAAATCAGAATAATGGAAATATGCAGCAGTTTACAAAGCATGTATGGAGAGAGAAACTGTTAATGTTTCACATTACACACAGCAGATGATCATCATTCCTTTGACTTTCTACTTGATTTGCTCAGTACTTCCAGCATTTTTTGTGTTATTATTTTCAGATTTACTTCTGCAGAAATGATTTCTGTTGTCTAACACTGAAGTCATACATAAGTGGTACCATTTTATGAACTATTTTGTTTGACACATCTCCCAGTATTTCCGTTCAGTGGATTTAACCCCAAGCGAGCAAAACGTGACAGTAGCATTTTAATACAAATGATTCCAGTGGTTCATTGGACGAAGTTTTGAATTCCAACACATGATAGTCATTCAGTTAATATCCAGTTCACTCTTTACTGTTTCTACCTGTGATCCAATGTTCTGCCATTGGTATGACTAGCAACACAGCAATGGCAACACTCTGATGTTGTGGTTCATGTTGGAACCAATAATGTAGACAAGGAAAGAGTTGAGGTCCTATCAAAGATATCCTGGAGTTAGGAGATTAAAGAATAAGACCTCAATGGTGGTAATCTGTATTACATTTAGTACTGCAGAGAGGTGAGACAGGCTAACTTGTGGATGGTGAAATTGGGCTGGAGGCAAGGCTTCAGAATTTGGGGTGTTGGGGCCACAGGAGTGTCAACCTTGATTCTGATGTTTCACCCAATATTGGATATAATAGTAAATGGAGAGGAGGGTTACTGAAACCTTCAGGATGCCACAGACAGGTGAAATGAGCAGACACTGGGAAGATGAAATTTTAATCCTCCCAGTGTGAGCCTGAGCAGACAACTCTTTGAAGTGGACAGGAATATTCTAAAAACCTGCTTTTGAAAAAAAAAACATAAAATCCTTGGTGGTGTCCTTTGGTACTTCACAAATTGATGGAGGACTCCCTGAGAACAGATTGTAAGCTTATCCCTGCTGGTTCTAGACTCTTCATGATAGAAAATATTTTTTCTGCATGTATTTATATTAACAAATTGTCCCTCAGTAGCATCATCCTTTAATTAGACAAAGGGAGGAAATTCTCTGAATGGGAGGCAAAGGTGAAAAGCAATTGCAAATGTTGGTTTGAGTAAATCCAGGGAATTATTTGTGGAGAAGAACAGGAATTTGATTTCCAGATATTGGGGTACGAGGAACAAATTGTTGAGGATTTGTGATGAGAAAGTTGGAACTGAAACAGACAATGTTGTGGAGAAGAAATCAGGGATCTTGTTATGAAGGGGATTGAAGCTTAACTCTGGATCAAGCACAATGCTGAAATTATTCTCAAACTGGAGGAGATGAATGGAATCGGTGGCAAAAGTTACTAAACGTTTGGCAAGAACTAAAAGAGGACACCACTCTTCCAACATTGGGAGAAATTCCTGAGTTGTACATGACCTTACATTGGCAGGCCATTTGACAGCACCAAGATGGTAGAAAAGAGAGAACCGATAGGTTGAATCTTGGACCCTCTTCCTCCTCATCACTCATACTCATGGATGATGCCAATAAAAAGATGACATGTAAATGAAGAAAAGGGTGCATCCCAAAGGAGACGTCATGGTATACAGTAGAGGTTAAAGGTAAAGTTGCTATAGTCCTACCAGGCCATAGGACTGCTCAATTGTTGGTGTTTTAAGCTAAGGGTCACCATGCCTGAGGCGTGTGGAATGGTTGAGAAGGGGTCCTTTGTAGTAACCTCAGCCAGCATAGGATTGAACCCACACTGTTGGTATCGCTCTATCACAAACCAGCCGTCCAGCCCAAGTGAGATTAATAACCAGATAACTTCAGCGTCACACAGTGGTTAGCATTGCTGGCTCACAGCGGCAGACCCATGGGTTCGATTCCAGCCTTGGGTGACTGCCTGTATGCAGTTTGCATGTTCTTCCCATGTTTAATAACCAGCTAATCTGTTTTAGTGATTCATATTGACCGGGACGTTGGGCATCATTTCCCCTACTCTTGCTTCTGCATTTCCTACTGGCACCTTAAAGAACAAATAGCTCTGAAGGGCCAGTGTTAAATTAAGTGTTCAAATCTCAGGATTACAGCTTGATACATAGAACATAGAACATAGAACATTACAGCGCAGTACAGGCCCTTCGGCCCTCGATGTTGCGCTGACCTGTGAAACTAATCTGAAGCCCATCTAACCTAAACTATTCCATTATCATCCATATGTTTATCCAATGACCATTTAAATGCCCTTAAAGTGGGCGAGTCTACTATTTTTGCAGGCAGGGCATTCCACGCCCTTACTACTCTCTGAGTAAAGAACCTACCTCTGACATCTGTCCTATATCTATCACCCCTCAATTTAAAGCTATGTCCCCTCGTGCTAGCCATCACCATCCGAGGAAAAAGGCTCCCACTGTCCACCCTATCTAATCCTCTGATCATCTTGTATGTCTCTATCAAGTCACCTCTTAACCTTCTTCTCTCTAACGAAAACAGCCTCAAAACCCTCAGCCTTTCCTCATAAGACCTTCCCTCCATACCAGGCAACATCCTGGTAAATCTCCTCTGCACCCTTTCCAATGCTTCCACATCCTTCCTATAATGCGGTGACCAGAACTGTACGCAATACTCCAAGTGCGGCCGCACCAGAGTTTTGTACAGCTGCAACATGACCTCATGGCTCCGAAACTCAATCCCTCTACCAATAAAACCTAACATACTGTACGCCTTCTTAACAACGCTATCAACCTGGGTGACAACTTTCAGTGATCTATGCACATGGACACCGAGATCTTTCTGCTCATCCACACTACCAAGAATCTTACCATTAGCCCAGTACTCTGTATTCCTGTTACTCCTTCCAAAGTGAATCACCTCACACTTTTCCGCATTAAACTCCATTTGCCACCTCTCAGCCCAGCTCTGCAGCTTATCTATGTCCCTCTGTAACCTACAACATCCTTCTGCACTATCCACAACTCCACCGACTTTGGTGTCATCCGCAAATTTACTAACCCATCCTTCTACGCCCTCATCCAGGTCATTTATAAAAATGACAAACAGCAGTGGCCCCAAAACAGATCCTTGAGGTACACCACTAGTAACGGAACTCCAGGATGAACATTTCCCATCAACCACCACCCTCTGTCTTCTTACAGCTAGCCAATTTCTGATCCAAACCGCTAAATCACCCTCAATCCCATGCCTCCGTATTTTCTGCAATAGCCTACCATGGGGAACCTTATCAAATGCTTTACTGAAATCCAAATACACCACATCAACCGCTTTACCCTCATCCACCTGTTTGGTCACCTTCTCGAAGAACTCAATAAGGTTTGTGAGGCACGACCTACCCTTCACAAAACCGTGTTGACTATCCCTAATCAAATTATTCCTTTCTAGATGATTATAAATCCTATCTCTTATAATCCTTTCCAACACTCTACCCACAACCGAAGTAAGGCTCACTGGTCTATAATTACCAGGGTTGTCTCTACTCCCCTTCTTGAACAAGGGGACAACATTTGCTAGTCTCCAGTCTTCTGGCACTATTCCTGAAGACAATGACGACATAAAGATCAAAGCCAAAGGCTCTGCAATCTCCTCTAGCTTCCCAGAGAATCCTAGGATAAATCCCATCCGGCCCAGGGGACTTATCTATTTTCACACCTTCCAGAATTGCTAACACCTCCTCCTTATGAACCTCAATCCCGTCTCGTCTAATAGACTGTATCTCAGTAATCTTGACTACATTGTCTTTTTCCTGTGTGAATACTGACGAAAAATATTCATTTAGCACCTCTCCTATCTCTTCGGACTCCACGCACAACTTCCCACTACTGTCCTTGACCGGCCCCAATCTTACTCTAGTCATTCTTTTATTCCTGACATACCTATAGAAAGCTTTAGGGTTTTCCTTGATCCTACCTGCTAAAGACTTCTCATGTCCCCTCCTGGCTCTTCTTAGCTCTCTCTTTAGGTCCTTCCTGGCTAACTTGTAACTCTCAAGCGCCCTCACTGAGCCTTCACGCCTCATCTCTACATAAGCCTCCTTCTTCCTCTTGACAAGAAATTCAACTTCTTTAGTAAACCACGGTTCCCTCGCTCGACCACTTCCTCCCTGCCTGACAGGTACATACTTCTCAAGGACACGCAGTAGCTGTTCCTTGAACAAGCTCCACATTTCAATTGTGCCCAGCCCCTGCAGTTTCCTTCTCCATCCTATGCATCCTAAATCTTGCCTCATCGCCTCATAGTTGCCTTTCCCCCAGCTATAACTCTTGCCCTGCTTTATATACCGATCCCTTTCCATCGCTAAAGTAAACGTAACCAATTGTGGTCACTATCACCAAAGTGCTCTCCTACCTCCAATCTAACATCTGGCCTGGTTCATTACCCAGTACCAAATCCAATGTGGCCTCGCCTCTTGTTGGCCTATCTACATACTGTGTCAGGAAACCCTCCTGCACACATTGGACAAAAACTGACCCATCTGAAGTACTCGAACTATAGCGTTTCCAGTCAATATTTGGAAAGTTAAAGTCCCCCATAACAACTACCCTGTTACTTTCGCTCCTATCCAGAATCATCTTTGCAATCTTTTCCTCTACATCTCTGGAACTTTTCGGAGGCCTATAGAAAACTCCCAACAGGGTGACCTCTCCTTTCCTGGTTCTAACCTCAGCCCATACTACCTCAGTAGACGAGTTGTCATCAAACGTCCTTTCTGCCACCGTAATACTGTCCTTGACTAACAATGCCACACCTCCCCCTCTTTTACCACCTTCCCTGATCTTACTGAAACATCTAAACCCCGGAACCTGCAACAACCATTCCTGTCCCTGCTCTATCCATGTCTCTGAAATGGCCACAACATCGAAGTCCCAGGTACCAACCCATGCTGCAAGTTCACCCACCTTATTCCGGATGCTCCTGGCGTTGAAGTAGACACACTTCAAACCACCTTCCTGCCTGCCGGTACACTCCTGCAACCTTGAAACCTTCTTTATGACCTCACTACTCTCAACCTCCTGTACACTGGAGCTACAATTCAGGTTCCCACCCCCCTGTTGAATTAGTTTAAATTAAATCAAATCAAATCATTCCCCTAGCAAGGCTCTGCTTGTCACACATTGCTGCATGGGTGTTTTTTTCCCCGGTGGTGGAATATTGATAAAGTTGTCTACATAACTGGTGTTTTTCGTTGTGACCTGCACGCCCAGACGACTCAAACCAAATCACTGGAAGAAAACTTGCACACTTTGCTGAAAGCCGGTAGGGGGAGGAATGGAGCATAAGGGCCTGCGGCTGGTCCTCCCGGACTGCAGGGGGCGGTGTTAGGGGAGGGCAGTAGGTGGGAGCATCTTGCGACGGGGGCTGCCTTGTTGTGCGCGGCCTGGTCGAGGCTCCGGAGCCTGGAGTGAGTCGGTACCAGATGCCGGTCGACACCAAGCGAGTTCGAGGCCCGGAGGATTCGCAGTCGCCGCTGCTGTTTGTGGCGGGAGATGCGGCTCCGAGCGCGGTGCCGGGCCGGGCCCGGGTTCGGGCTGATGGGCGGTCAGCGGCTGAGCCGAGGCCGGTGTTTGCTCGGGCCGGCCTGGTGAGTCAGGCGGACGGCTCGGTGTACGCCGAGTGCGGCCTCACTAAGGTGCTGTGCGCCGTTTACGGGCCCCGGGAGAGCGACAGGAAGGAGGAGCGGCGCCTGAGCGGGGCAACCCTGGGCTGCGAGTTCAGGTAGGGGCCGGGGCCGGAGGTTGGGGGGTGGGAAGGGTCTTAAAGCCCCCCCCTCCCCAACACACAGACGGGTGCAGGGGGAGGGTGTACACTTCCTTATCCTTATCCCTCCCACGCTTTTACCCCCCCCCCCGTTCTCCCTCCCCCTTCTCCCTCCCCTCCCCCCTTTCCTCCCCCCTTCCCCCCCCTTCCTCCCCTTCCCTTCCCCCCCTCCCCGAAACCAAGGGCAAGGGGAGATGATGTAGAGACCCCTGGTGTAGGGAGTAGAGTCTCCTGTGATTTTGGAAAGGTGGGAGTGTAGGTTATCAGTGTGTGTCAGGTCAGCTTTGATTGGGGAGTGGTGTTTGGCGGGGAACTGGACTGGGTTCCTGGTCCCTGAGCAGCTGCAGTTTTATTTGGGGATGTGGGTGGTAGTGGTACCAGCGCATCGAATGTGTGTGAGAAAGCAGGTGGCTGGGTGGGAGTTCAGTTGGATTGGTGGTTTGGGCAGAGGGGAGGATTCCCAATCTGATCCCTGGCTGCTGGGTTTAGCAAAGTGAATTGTGGAAACACAGGCTCATCCGGTGACTTGAAGCTGGAAGGAGGGTAGGGAAATGTGTTGATCGTCAGCAGAAGAAGAAGGTGGGACTGTCAAGTGACTGCACAGCGCATTCCAGATCACAGCAGCTCACAAATAATGAACCTGGTCCTCAACCCAGCTCCGATTCCTTATATCGTCTCATTATCAGGTTGCTGACAGTTCTTTAAGATTGAATCAGAGATAGTAGGAACTGCAGATGCTGGAGAATCCGAGACAACAAGGTGTAGAGCTGGATGAACACAGCAGGCCAAGCAGCATCATAGGAGCAGAAAGGCTCCTATAAGATCCTATAAGGCTCCTTTAAGATTCATTTCTTTGTATGTGGAGGTGCTGGTGTTGGGCTGGGGTGGACAAAGGTGGAATGACAATGTAGACAGTGGGTGTCACTGGCAAGGTAAGAATTTGTTGCCCATCCCTAATTGCTTTTAAAACAGTGGGTTGCCTGACCATTCAGAGGGCAGTTAAGAATTGGCCACACTTTTGTAGTCTGGATAGCCTCAATTTTATTTTATTAAAGTTCCATTCCATGTGATCCTTGGTTTGTTGCTGATACTCCAACCTGAGCCATTTACTTGGCAGTCTTTGCTGCTGACTTTCATTCTCAAGTTTAGGATGACAAAGTCAATCCCAAATCTACCTCAGTTGGAACAGAAATTGAACCTGCACTGTTAGACATTTTTCTGAACCACTTCACCGACATTTAACCAACTGCGCTAACCGTATTCCTCTTTTCAAATATCACGTGAATGAATTCATAGGATTGTTTTTCTTCCCGCCCCCCCCACTCCACCCTTGTAGATTCGCCCCATTCTCTTGCAGGAAGAGAGCTGCCTGGATTCAGGGCAGCTTGGAGAAGGAGTATTCTTTGATCATGGAACAGAGCTTGCAGCCAGCTATCTGCCTCCACAAGTACCCCAGGTCCCAGATCGAAGTGTACGTGATGGTTCTGGAGAATGATGGCTCCACCTTAGCAGCTGCTCTGACTTGTGCTTCCATAGCACTGGCAGAAGCAGGCATCGAGATGTTCGACGTGGTGGTGGGCTGCTCCTTGAGGCAGTGTGGAGATGTCTCCCTTCTGGACCCAACAGCAGCCGAGGAGTACAGTGCAGCCTGCTCACAGGCCGTAAATAATGGCAGCTTGACTGTGGCTCTGCTGCCCACACTCAATCAAATCTCTGGGCTGGTCTCGAAAGGAGAGTGGGAGGAGCAGACATCAGTAGAAGCAATCAAGGCTTGCATTGAGGGATGTCAGAAGCTGTACTCTGTAGTCCAGCAGTGTCTAACCAAATCAGTCAAGAGGAAAATCCCACAGCTTGTCAGTAAAGATTAGATGAACTTTTATTCATGGACATTCTAGTAAATGCTTTCTTTAAAAAAAAATGTTTTTTTACTGTTCCATTTACTACATTTTATACAAGTTGCAGAATATCCTTTGTTAAGATTTAACTAAAATTGAACCACCACACGGTATTGGATTGAAGTGTGAGGTTCAGCTCTGTCTATGCTGAGTTGCCTGATCTGCAGTGGTGCTGAAGTTGAGCTTCAGTGCAGGAAGGGATAATCGGGCCAGGGTTCCTGAAGCTGATTGTTCAGTCTCTCCTGTTGGAAGTGTGGGACGTTGGGCCTCAATTCCCTGCTGTCTGGTCTTGAGCAGTGAGGGTGGAGTTGTGCTGCAGTAAAACTTGATCTCCGGGTGAAGAAGAGAGAATATATGCAATTCAAGCTAAAGTGGTAGGGGACTTTGCCCTCACTGCTTATTTTTTGCCCTGCCACAGTATTTATTTCAGTACTTCCTCACTGAACAGATTTCAACTCTGAGGGCCTAAGGATTACACAGTGCAGTCTGTCTGGGATCAGTCAAGTATTTATCCTTTCCAGTCCTTGTGAGTTATTAAAACAAGCAGTTTATTTGGTGCATACATATCTTCTCCAACTGGTACAAACACAACACTGGAGGAACTCAACTGGTCTGGGAGCATCTGTGGAGAGAGAAGCAGAGTTTAGTTTTGAGTTTGGTATGACCTCCTTCATACTCCATGTTCTCCAATTGGTCCCATATAGAGCTCTTTCTTCTACTGTGGGTAGAGACAAGGCACTCTTGGTACAGAGAATTTACATCCAGTGTCGTCTAAGGCTTTTGCTTTGAAATGGATCCCAGCCTGATGAAGTGAATGGTTACTGGTTTAAGGCCATTCTGTTAAATGAGCTTGGGGATAGTCTCAACTTGGTGGTCAGTGGCTATCAGCCACTGACAGCTGTGATGAATACTTCACCCAACTGCAGAAGCACAGTACAAGGCAGATTAACGGGCACAGCTCTTTGTTCCTCTCCCAACTTTGTAATGTGCTAGACCTGGACACCCTTGGATATGAGTGTTCAGGGTGGGAAATGTCCATCCAGTCTATTCATTCACTAACTTGTCTGTTTACTATATTTTTTTAACAAATAAAATCAAAATTCTTGACCATTCTGTCATTGTTCTGCACATGCTGAGTTGTAATTTGGAAGAAATGTCTCATTGACTTTAAGTGCTGATTGACATTGTGCAGCATCAGGCAGAATCCTGGGGAATCAAAGTTTGCTCAATGCTCCTGACGTAAATAATAGTAAAATGATGGTTTTTTTTATTGTTGCCATTAGGATTCCTTGTAACATCAGCTAGTTGTATACATTTACGTTACAAACAGCCTGAAAAAGATCCCTTTATACCCGCTCTCTGCCTTCTGCTAGTCAGCCGATCCTCTATCCATGCCAGTACCTTGCCCCTAACACCCTGGGCTCTTATCTTAAAAAGCAGCCTCCTGCACAGTGCCTTGTCAAAGGCCTCCTGGAAACTCAAACAGATCACATCCAAAGGCTCTCCTTTGTTGAACTTGATCGTTGTCTCCTCAAAGAATTCTGACAGATTTGTGATCTCCCCTTGACCAAGGCATGCTGACTCTGCCGTATTTTATCTGCTCTTTCAAGTACTTTGCAATCTCATCCTTAATAACGGATTGTAAAATCTTACCAACGACAGAGGTCAGGCTAACCGGCCTGATAAATAATTTATTTAAAAAAGCGTATTCCCTCTTGTTGTTCCCTCACCATCTGCCGCACACCCAGTCAAACCGTTTTACCCTTTTGTGGTACCACTGTTTGTGATGGGCTTTGAATTGCTCCACCCAGAGTATATTCTGCACCCTTACCACTCCAAGTGGCGTTCGACATGGAGGAACACTGATTCATCAGCCAAATGATGGTGATGGCCTAGTGGTATTATCGCTGGACTGTTAATCCAGAGACCCAGATAATGTTCTAGGAACCTGGGTTCGAATGGCAGATGGCGGAATTTGAATTCAATAAATATCTGGAATTAAGAGTCTAATGATGACCATGAATCAATTATCAATTGTTGGAAAAACCCATCAGGTTCACTAATGTCTTTTAGAGAAGGAAACTGTTATCCTTACCTGGTCTGACCTACATGTGACTCCAGACCCACAGCAACGTGGTTGACTCTTAACTGCCCTTTGGGCAATTAGGGATGGGCAATAAATGCTGCCTAGCTAGTAATGCCCTCATCCTGTGAATAAATAAAGGAAAAAAAGGGGAGGGTAGTTTATGATAACGAGCAAGAGGTTTGTTTGCTCACATTTGCCTTGATGCCTGAGATCACAAGTTCAGAGTCAATGCTGAGGACTCCCAGAGAATTTTTCCTCCAACTGTCCACCTCTGCAAGCTCTGTCCTAGCAGTGGGACACAATAGACCCAGGGATGGTGATGGACTCTGGGACGTTGGCTGTAAGGTCATGTTTTGTAAGGACCATGACCTTGTCAAGCTGTGACTCGACTTGTTTGCCGAGCTAGTTTAAAGAATTAAACCGCTGCAACCGCAGAAGTCATGTTAATCTCAGCACGTGCACACTTTGTACGCAACAAATTATACATGACTTGCACGTACGTCTTTCTACCCATTCAGCACATATGGAACAGAGGGGGAGATTTAATTGAGCTTAGAAAATCAAAACAGAGATCTTGTGATGGAATGGGTGACTATGGGTTCAGGCTCCACTCCCAGACTAATGGTCACAGAAGGTGCATTCATTATGTTGGCAAGTTAGTTGTAATCTTACAAATCCTTCCAATACACACAAAGGCATAGTGTTGTACAGAATGGAAACAGGCCCTTTGGCCCAAATCATCTATCCCAACTAGGTTTCCTAAACTGCGTTAGTCACATTTGCCTGTGTTTGGCCCATATCTGTCTAAACCTCTCCTATCCATGTACCTGCCCAAATGCCTTTTAAATGTTGTAATGTACCCACCTCTACCCCTTCCTTTGGCAGCTTATTCCATACACGCATCATCCTCTGTATGAAAAAGTTGCTCCAAAGGTCTCTCTTAAATCTTTCCCCTCTCTCCTTAAACCTATGCCCTCTAGTTTTGGACACCCCTCCCTTGGAAAAAAAACCTTGGCTATTCAATCAATCTTTACTCCTCATGATTTCACAAACCTCTATAAACTCACCTCTCAGCCTCTGACGCTCCAGGGGAAAATGGTCACAACCTATAGCTCAAACCCTCCAGTCCTGGAAACATCGTTGTAAATCTTTTTTGCACCTTTTTCAATTTTAAACACCCTTCCTATAGCAGGGTGACCAGAATTGTATGCAGTGCCCCAAATGTGGCCTTACCAGTGTCTTGTACAGCTGTAACATGATGTCCCAACTCCTGTACTCAGTGCTCTGATCAATGAATACAAGCATGCTGAAAGCCTTCTTCACCACGTCTACCTGCAACTCCACTTTCAAGGAACTATGTACCTGCACCCCTAGGTCTCTCTATTTGACAACACTCCCCAGGGCCCTACCATCATGTAGTAAAAAAGCAGGAAAGATTCCTAGTCAGCTGTGTGATAAAAATATATTGGAGTCTCCACCATCACTACCCATAGCTCCAGGCTACAACATACATGGAACTATTTACATTGCCACTGCAACTTAATATTCTTTAAGTGTAGAATTAAAAAGTAAAGAAGGATTTAAGATGGTAACTGGAAATATGTGTAGGCCACCTGGTATTATCCTAAATGTGGTACTGGGATTGGACAAGCTGGTAACAAAGTCCAAGTGGCTTTAACTTTTCTGTACACTGGGATAAGCAAGCACTGTGTGTGCTTGGGTTGGTTTCCTGCCACAGCAACTGGGTATTCAATCTTAAAATTAGTATTGAGAAAGGAGCCAGATTTAGTTAACAACCTAACAGTGCATGAACATTTCCTGAACAATGAGACACTTGAAAGGGAGAGACATTAAACCAGTAGGTAAGATGAGAGAGAGAGTATGGATATTATTGTAAACTTAGAAAACCAGAAATTGTTGGAGAAACTCAGCAGGTCTGGCACCACCAGTGGAAAAAGAAAGTAATGTTAATGTTTCAAGTCCAGTGACCTTTTAAGTGACAATTTATTGTAATACTTGCACAGATCCTAAAATACTCCTAAATTGGAAGAGTTGTATGTATCAAAACAAAAGACAGCCATGGAAAACTAAAGAGGTTCTCTCCATCATAAGGTCAGAAGTGGGGATGTTTGCTGATGATTGCACAATGTTCAACCCCATTTACTACTCCTCAGATTCTGAAGCAGTCCACGTTCAAATGCAACAAGATCAGGACAACATCCAGGCTTGGACTGACAAGTAACAGGTAACATTCATGCCACACAAATGCTAGGCTATGATCATCACCAATAAGAATCTAATCACCCCCCTTGACATTCAATGGTGTACTGTCACTGAATGTCCCACTATTAACATCCTAGGGGTTACTATTGACCAGAAACTCATCTGGACCCACCACATAAATACACTGCCTACAAGAGCAGGTCAGAGGCTACGAATACTGTGGTGAGTAACTCACCACCTGACTTCCCAGAGCCTGTCCTTCATCTACAAGGCACATGTCAGGAGTGTGAAGGAATATCCTCACTTGCCTGGATGAGTGCAGTTCCAACAACACTCAAGAAGCTTGACATCATCCAGGACAAAGCAGCCCATTTGATTGATATCGCATCCACTCCCTCCACTACTGACATTCAGTAGCAGCAGTATGTACTATCTACAAGATCTACTGCAGAAGATCCTCGGACAGTATCTTTCAAATGTACGACCACTTCAATCTAGAAGGGCAAAGACAGCAGAAACATGAGAACTCCACCACCTTCAAGTTCCCCTTTGACCCACTCACCATCCTGAGTTGGAAATATATCGCCATTCCTTCATTGTCACTGGGTCAAATTCCTGGAATTCCCTCCTGAAGGGTATTGTGGCTCAACCTACAGCGTATGAACTGCAGCTGTTCAAGAAGGCAGCTCACCACCACCTTCTCAAGGGCAACTCGGGACAGGCAATAAACATACTGGCCCAGACAGCGATGCTCACATACAATGAATGACTCAATGTGAAAAGAAATTAAGAGAATGCAAAAAAACACAGTTCTTGCCAACTGAGAAAGATAGCAGCAGCAAAGTTTGTCAAAGCCAATAGTAAAGCTACAAAAAGAGTGCATGAAAGGAAAACTTATAAAGGTACTCAGAAGCAATGATAACTCTGGCATTCTTGTTTAAAAAGAAGGAAATAGTGGACATACTGAACCACTACTTTGCATCAGTGTTTAAGCTGAGGAATAGGTCAGTACACAAGACTTCCCAAAGGAAATATTATTGAATCAGAGCAGGGATTCAACAAAACAAATGTTAGCAAGGTAACAGCAATGAAGAAAATAATAGCACTGAAGAGTGATAAATCCTCATGTACCTGATGGTTTCCATCTCAGGATTTGAAAGAAATAGAATTTTAAAGAATAAGTACCAAACTGTAATCTGCCAAAGTTATAAAGTCATAGAGTTGTACAGCACAGAAACAGATTCTTCAGTCCAACACATCCATGCTGACCAGATATCCTAAATTAATCTAGTCCCATTTGCCAGCATTTGGCCCATATCCCTCTAATCCCTTACTATTCATGTACCCAGCCAGATGCCTTTTAAATGTTGTACCAGCCTCCACCACTTCCTCTGGCAGCTCATTCCATACACGCACCACCCTCTGCGTGAAAAAGTCACCTCTTACATCCTTTTTAAATCTTTCCCCTACCTTAAACCTATGCCCTCTAGTTTTGGACTCCACTACCTTCGGAAAAAGACCTTGGCTATTCACCGTATCCAGGCCCCTCATGATTTTAGAAACCTCTATAAGGTTACCCCTCAGCCTCCTATGCTCCAGAGAAAATAGCCCCCGCCAATTCAGTCTCTTCCGAAAGCTCAAACCCTCCAACCCCGGCAACATTCTTGTAAATCTTTTCCGACCCTTTCAAGTTTAACAATATCTTTCCAAGAGCAGGGAGACCAGAATTGAACACAGTATTCCAAAAGTGGTCTAACCAATGTCCTGTACAGCCCAGGACAGGGCATCCCAAGTCCTATACTCGATGCAATGACTAGTAAAGGCAGGCTTACCAACACCTGTCTACGTCGATTTTCACCCTGCACCCCAAGGTCTCTTTGTTTGGCAACACTCCCCAGGACCCTACCATTATGTGTACAGTCCAGCCCTGACTTGCCTTACCAAAATGCAACACCTCACATTTATCCAAACTAAATTCCATTTATCACTGTTTAGACCATGTGATCAAGGTCCTGTTGTACTGAGATAACCTTCTTTGCAGTCCTCTTAAAGTTGTGCAAGTGCAGAAGCTGGCTAACTGACTATTAGATGGTACATCTTTACACCGAGGATTGGGACTTGTGGAACATGTTGCTGACTTGTGTGGTGAACACTGTATTCCTTCAAGTGGGGCCTGGGTGTGTTTATGGCCGATTGGAAATCTCTATAAGAGATAGGTTATAGAGATAGGCATTCTGTGACAGTCATTGCCAATGTAATCTTAGGCTTCGTTTTCATCAGCTGAGGACGAATCTCAGGAGTTTTGCAGATCTATTTTCCCCTTGGTTGGCCTGTGTTTCTTTTTTAATCAGGTGGGGAGTATGCACATCAGGGGCATTGTAACAGTGTGGGATGGCCATCATTTGTGTCAACACCTAGCAGCTTTTGGTGGTGGGTTCCATGCAGGCACTTCCTAGCAGATGTCCTGGGATTCAAATCCTGGAATTAAAAACAGAAAATGCTGATAATACGCAGCAGCTAAGTGCGGTATCTATGGAGAGACGAAAATCAGTTAATGTTTCAGCTTGATGACCTCTCATTGGGAGGTCAAGATAGTGGAGAGAAGCCAAGTTTGTAAGTGAGGGTGTGGAGAGGGCATAAGAGATGCTCTGGGTGCTGAAGTGGCATGATTCTTAGGGACAGTTCTTCCTTCGGCTAGTCGGCCATCGGGGGGGAGCACAATCGGGGGCAGTTGTGGGTACGCTGCCCTTTAAGGGGGGGAAACGTGGCCTCTGATCCGGAAGTGTTTGTGTGTCGGTTGGGTCGCGTAGCGACGCTGGAAGCGGGGCAGGATATAAAAGCAGCCGGCCGTGACGCCGGAAGTGAGATGACGCGCGGGGACACCGGAAGTGAGGGAGTGGGGCGGCGACGCCGGAGGTGAGGGGGGTGGGGCGGCGACGCCGGAAGTGAGAGGGCACCGGGCCGTTAGCAGCAGGAGGCGCGAGGATGGCGTCGAGGGCGAAGCGGCCGAAGGTGAGGCCCAGGCCCCGAGAGAAAACCCGCCAAAACCCGGGTCCCCGACAGAAACCCTCCCGAACCCCGGGGACCGAGACATAGAGACTGCCCCCGCCTCAATTTCTGGCCAATAGTAACCCCCGCCGCCCCCCGGATGTTGATAATGAGGGGGATTCAGTGATGGTCACACCATTGAATGTCAAGATGGCAGTGGTTAGATTGTCTCTTATTGGTGATGGTCACTGCCTGGTGCCTGTAAGGTCTGAATGTTACCTCATTGTAGATTGACCCTTTTCTCCTCCCATGGGTGTGTGGGTCAGGGTATTATCTCAGAGCTAGCTGAGCTGGGATTGGCTTCACTGCATGATCTCACTTTTTCCCCCCATTTCCTCCCGCCCGGCAGGTGGAATCCGCAGAGGCGCCCGTAAATCGGGATCAAGAGACGGCGAACGGCCTGGTTCAGTTCCTGGACTGGTGTGTGCAGTCAGGGCTGCTGCTCAGCTCAAAGGTGAGAGAGAGAGAGACAATGGGCCTTTAGTTTGTCAGTCTGAGTAAACAAATCTGTTCTGTTGAAGAGTCACTGGACTCAAGTCAACTCTGTTTTCTCTTCCACAGATGGTGCTGAGTTTGTCTGGCAGTTTCTGTTTTTGTTTCAGACTTCCATTGGCCCCTTGTTAAGACTTTGAGCTCCCAGTGTCTGCTTGCAGGACTTTTCATCGCCCCATCATTTTGCTTTTGTGATTGATACTGATGTATACCACCTCGGCTGGTAGTTCATTCCCGTCTCCCTAGGATTGTTCTGCACCCATGCAGTGATATCCTTGAGCCTGGCACCTAAAAGGTGATATACCACCTGGAATTCACACCCATTCATGCGAAAAGTTGGGTGTTTCTGTCACTGTTGCACATCTTATTGCTATCCTTCCCTGTGTGTTAGAGCTGTCCTGGTGCCTTGGACCTAGCTGTGGCTGCTCAGAGCCCACTGGCATTCAGTGATGAGCATCAATTGAAAATGCACCCTTGGGAGCCCTGCACTACCTACCTTGATTACCTGCTGCAGTGACAGGAGATGCTGCTTGGGCCCCAAAACCCTGACCTCCAGCTCTGTCAGCTGTATGAGACTATCCGTCCAGGGCATAAGTGTTCTGAATACCCTCTTAGCATTGGATTTAGTCAGAGTGACTGCCCTGCCATGATTTTATTTGAGCGGCTAAGAGAAAAATGTTGCTGTGTTATCTGATTGCACCATTCTTTTAGCTTGTGAGATCCAGATTGCAACAACCCTTTGTGTAAAACATTTCCTCCTTTTCCTGTTCTTTAGCCAATTATCCTATAATTCAGTTCTGGTTATTGTCCCTAGTTTTAATCCCTGCTTCCCTTTTCCATCCCTTTGTTTTAAAGGGAAGTGACCATTTGCTGTGCACTGACTCTGGTTTATCCCGTATGGTTTCTGTTTCTTGGTTTCCCCAGGTTTATGTGAGCAAAGAGGGCACAGTGGCAGATTATGGCCTGGTGGCAAAGGATGAGATTGAAGAGGGAGAGCTGCTGTTCTCTGTTCCAAGGTCAGCAGTGCTCAGCCAGCACACAACCACCATCAGTGATCTCCTGAAGAAAGGTACGTTGGTCAGAAACAGGGCCTGGTGATCTGGCAAGGAGGGAGGGATTGGAGGGAACTTACTGCTGCATTTGATAGTGAAACCAACAGGGGCTGCTGAAAACTCCCAGCTTCCATTCTCAGCCTCTGATGCTTTTGGCTTCAGTGCCTTGGACTTGGAGTATTGGTGGGTGTTATCCAGAGTGCCTGCACTTGAAGTTGCCTTTTTTGGGTTTCAACATGGCCATTAGAAGCTGGTCAGCATCTACAGGGGAGGGTGAATGGAGATTACATTCATACGTGAAGGAGACCATTTAGCCTGTTCTACCAGTTTAAAACAGCTATCCAATTGATGGTTCCATTCTGCTCTTCTCCCGTAGCCCTGCAGTTTCCTCAATCTCATCCGTTTTAAAATGATTCAATTCCCTTTTGAAGGTTGTCATTAAATCAGTTTCCACCAACCTTAAGGAAGCAGCAGCTGGTTACCCAAGGAAATGGTTTTAAAACTCACCATGACAGCTGAGAGATGTAAATTCGGTTAAATAATTCTTTTATTCACTCATGATGTCACTGGCTGGGCCAACATTTATTGCCTGTCCCTAGCTGCCCTTGAGAAGGATTCTTGAAATGCTGCACTGTGTGGAGTGTGGGTTTATTTGGATTAATTCCTTCTTTAGGCATCATGTCAGCTTAATTGAGTGGCTCTTTGGCTATTGACTGTCGCTCTGAAATGACCAATCATATTGTTGAGAGTCTGGAGTTACCTGTAGGTCAGACTATTTAAGAATGGCAGATTTCCTTCTCTAAAGGAAATTTGTGAATCAGATGGGTTTTTATAACAATTGACAGTGAATTCATGATCATCATTGGATTAGGTTTTATTTTCAGGTTTCTTAATTGAATTTTTAAAATGCTACTACCTGCCGTGGAGAGGTTTGAATCAGTTTTTTTTTTGTTTTTATCTAATATTGCTGTCTGGGCAGCATTTATTGCCTGTCTGTAGTTGCCCTTGAGAAGGTGTGAGCTGCCTTCTTTGTTATGGAGAGTGGACAGGAAAGTGGAGTTGAGACCAAGATGAGATCAACCATGATCATATCAAATGGCATCTATTGACTTTCGTGGAAGGAAATCTGCTGATCTGATCCATGATTGGCAGTGTATAACTCTTAACAGCTTCCTGAAATCAGACTACTCAGTTGTTCCAAAGGGCTGTGAAAAAGGCCAGGAATAAAATAGACAGAATTGACCTTGTCACTATGCTGTGGAAAATCCTCCCTTGTATTGGGGGCTTGTGCCAAAACTATCTGCAGAATGGTTGAACAACAGCTTGTCTTGTGGCATCTGGTAAAAGGAAGGTAAAGAAACCTACTGGTGATCTACCACCAACTGCTCTCTACTGAGGAGTCAGGACACACATCCGAGAAAGGGGAACATTGCCCCAGTATGTCCTGTCCATGTAAATCTGGACAAATCCATCCCAGCTAACTGCCACCCCATCAATGATCTCTTAATCAACAAGTGACAGAAAATACCGCCAGCAGTGCTATGAAGTGACATTCACTAATCCTCTGTTTGGCTTCAGGTAGGATCACTCCTCTCCAGACCTCATTACAGCTTTGGCCCAGTCTTGAACAACCTGAATTTGAGGTGAGAGTGACTGCCTTGGACATAAAGGCAGCATTTAATTTGTGATATCAGGGAGGCCTCTCAAGATTTGGGCGGGGTTGTGAAGGTTGAGGGCTTGTTGAGGATGAGGTTTGTTGTGCATGTGTGTGAAGGAGTCTCTGGCACTGGCTGTGAATACTCTATCCCTGTTGGGTGTCTTGTTTCAGAGGCAGCAGCGTTGGAGAGCCCCTCGGGCTGGGTCCCTCTGCTGCTTTCCATGATGTTTGAGATCACAAGCAGTGAGTCCCGCTGGAAATCCTACTTCTCCCTCTGGCCAGACTTCAGCAGCCTGCACCACCCGATGTTCTGGTAAGGGACTTCTGTTACTAACATCTGTGGTGACATTGAGGGCCTTCAGTCAGTCACGTTTCATTCCCCTGTGTCTCAGAAAAATGATCCATTGACCAGCTGAACTAAGCCAACCTGTACTTAGATATTAAACACTTTCTTTAGCAAAAAAAAGTACTCAGGACTTGACCTCAGCCCCAGACCCTTGAGCTCCCCTTCCCCCTCTCTCTACACCGCACTGTGTCACCTCCACTCAACCCTGGCCACTGGAATGGCTGCCTGCTCCTTCCTCTGGCTCTGGTGTGATGGCAGTGAAGAGATAGGAACCTTGGAATAGGTCATGACCTCCTTGGGAGCCTGTGCAACCATTTGATAAGATCATGGCTGATCTGGTTGTGGTGTCAGCTCTGTGACTCCTTGGTGATTGTAGGTCTGTCTAACTCAGTCTTCGGTATATTCAGTGATCCAGCCTCTATTGCTGTCTGGGCAAGAGAATTCCACAGGTTGACTGTGCTCTGAGTGGGGTAAAAAAAAAACTCATCTTAAAACAGACTTCTTATTCTTAAACTGTGCTCCCGCTTTCTAGTATCCACTCTTTTAGCTCCCTGAGGATCTGGTATATTTCAATAAGATTGCCTCCTGTTCCACTTGATATAGGTAGATCCTGTCAACCTTTCTCCATAACATAAACCCAGGTGCTGTTAGTTTGTTTTGGGGTCCTTGTTCAAGTCAAACTATAGCCTGTACTCACCCTCCTACCTCACTCTGGGCTGTTACTCCGAGAGTTCTTCCCTGACATGAGTAACTGCAGCCTTGTGTACGCAGGTCTGAGGAGGAGAGGAACCGCCTGCTGCTGGGCACAGGGGTGGCACTAGCTGTTGAGAAAGATCTGATCAACATCGAGGAGGAGTATAACAGCGTTGTGCTACCTTTCATCAAGTGTCACCCTAGCATCTTCGACCCACAGAAACACACCCTGGATCTTTACAAGAAACTGGTGGCATTTATTATGGCCTACAGGTGAGAGCGTGTGCACATCCCCACCCCCATGTTCTTCTGTGAACATCAGCAAGGCGCATTGAGCAGGCTTTCTGCCAGCAGGAAGTGAACCTTGGTTGGATTGAGCAGGTCTGTGGTATTTGCTTGTTGAATAGCACTTGCTGCAGACTGCAATCATGGTTCCTCTGAGGAGGTTGTGTGGTACAGGGTAGTTGTTCCCCTCTTCACCCCCACCACAAGGAAAAACAGGCCAGGGAATGACTGAACCTTGTGTTTATGGTGATTGAATGCTTAGGACAGAACTGGCCACCTCAATAGATGGTGAAACCTATCTGAGGGAAGATTTGCTGCCTGCCTAGGCCTGACTATGTCCTGTACTGAGGGCCTCAGGACTCTGCATGCTGCTATTTCTCATTGGTCGGGCGTGAGGACTGTGTGATGCCTGAGCTTGGGTCTTATTCCTGCAGTTTCCAGGAGCCCTGCGAGGACGAAGATGAAGAGGATGATGAGAAGGCATCAAAGCCTCCTATGATGGTGCCAATGGCAGACATCTTAAATCATGTGGCCAATCACAATGCGTGCCTGGAATTTGCACCAGTGAGTATCGTGGAGGGGCATGATGTGGGGGAGGTGGGCCAGGAGGACGGGGCAGGATATACAGGAACAGGCCACAGTTACTGGGCTTTGCAGCAGTCGGGGACAGTGACTGGGGGTGCTGCAGGAGTGTGGAGTGTATGGTGGGGAATGTGGGTATAGGAGGCAGGGAATGAGAGTTTGGTGGGGTGGCCCAGGGATTATGGTCTGTAGTGAGGGCAGGAGGAGGGGAGAGAATTCTGGTTATTGATTATGTTTAATGAATGTGAGTTGTTATATTTCCTATTTAACCTTTGCTTTCACAGGAATGCTTGAAAATGCTCTCCATCAGGAAGATCAGCAAAGGCGAAGAGATATTTAATACGTACGGACAGCTCGCTAACTCGCAGCTCCTGCACATGTATGGCTTTACAGAACCATATCCGAGCAACACACATGAAGCTATGGACATCCAAATGCAGACTGTCTATGATGCTGCCTTGCAAGGTTGGTCTTGAACAATGTAACAAGGCCAAGCAGACTTCAGGAGGCTGCAGATTGGAGAGGAGGTCTGACCAGAATATCCTTTGTGTTTTAAGCTGTGCACACAGAAGAGGAGAGGAAGCTGCTGAGGGAGAAGTGGGAATTTCTGACTGAGTTGGAAATAGTTGGAGAAGAGAGGGACTTTGTGATTGGCCAGTCAGGAGTCCTGACGGAGGAGGAACTTTACAGTACCCTGAAGGTGAGGACCAGCTCTTGGTGGGCCCAGTGTTTTGATGCTCCCTCTAGTTATCATTCAGTCTGGTTGGTGTTCTGTACAATTGTTACTTTGTGGGTGATATTAGTGGAGGGTAGAGAAGCTAATTTAGGGAGGGATTTAATAGACATTTAAAATCTTGAGTTTTGATGATTTTTCCATATTTGCTCTTGTTCACGGCAATCAGACCGCACGTATATAGAGCAATTTCTGGAGGTGAAATGAAAAAAGGTGCTTAATACTGAAATAAAAACAGTAACATGCACATGGAAAGCACTATCTGAGGGTGGTGTTCATAGAATCAATGCTTTTGAAAGGAAGCTGGATAACTTAGAGGAGCGGCAAGTATTTGCAGGCCGTGAGATTAAGTGTACCATGTGCAAGGGCCCATGAGCCTCTGAAGCTGTTTCCCTGTTGGGTTCCTATGGTGTGAAGTAACTGTCCTCTCAGCTGCTTGTTAATGCAGCCTCAAAACTCACTGGCATTTTCCTTCCTCTTTCTGACATATGAGCAGGTACTGAGCATGTCACTGGAGGAATTTGAAGAATACAAGGCCAATGATGGCTGGGAGGATGATGATGAGGATGAGGAAGAGGATCTTTCCAGCCTTGACAATGCAGTCATACCCAAACTGAAACCTGCTTGGAAGCAACTTCTGCACAACACTGTGACAATGAGACTAAAATCATACCGCTCAGGACTAAAAGAAGAGGAGGCTGCATTGACTAATGAGGAGACTTACCGCCAGCTCAGCAAACGAGAACGTGACTCACTGCAGGTCCGATATGCACAGAAGATGATTTTACATCGACTGTTGGAGCTGACTGAATAGCATCATCAGCAACTAAGGAATAAAGTACTGTCTTTATATTATTCTTGCTTGAATTGTTTGTCTATCTGTCTTAACACCCATTGTGCCAGGACACAATGTGAAGGATCCTCTGGTTTACAGCCAGATTATATTCCATTGCTAAATAATTCAGTTAGGTCATTTCCCTATTGGGAAGTAGGTTCTTCCATTGTAGTCTGAGTATTATTATCCTTCCAATTGTCATGCTTACCAGCCTTGCAGAAGGGTCTGAAATAAGATGTGTTTTGACAAACCATTCTTTGGAACTGGATCATCAGTCATGGCTTTTGTGTTCTAGTTAGGAGCTGCGTTTGGTCACTGAAGCAAGTCTTAAAAGGTGTTATTTATTTATTGGAAGGGGAATGGAATGTGAAAGTAGTGATATCTTTGAATACTGTGTAAATGCATGACCCTATTCTTTAACGAAAGTCACACAATATCCAAAGATGTGCAGGTTAGGTGGATTGACCATGCTAAATTGTCCCCTAGGGTCTCGATGTGAGGTTAGTTGGTTAGCCCTGGGAATTAAGAGGGCAGGTGGTCTGGGTTTGGGTGGGATGCACTTCAGGTCAGTGCAAACTTGATGAGACCTATAGGGATTCTAATTGTGTTCATTTGACTGCTGGGATGTGGGGGTTTGTATCCACTAAGTTTCAGAAAGGTCATCTCCCATTCTCCTTAGGGGGGATGCTTTTCCCCTGGTTGCAGAGATGAGAACAAGAGGATATAATTTCAAAATAAGGCCTTTTAACAATAGATTGCTAGTCTACAGAATTCTCTTTCCCAAAGAGCAGCAGAGGTGGTGTCTTTGAATATACTTAAGGTAGTCAATCGACTTCAACCTTAAGTCAAGAATTGATGGGTATCTGGGGTAGGCCACAATCAGATTTAATTCCCTTTATTTCCTCTGCTAGGGGGGAAATCACAAGTGTTTCTGTGTAATTGGCCTATTTAACATTCTAAGCACCTTGCTTATATTGCAAAAGCTGGCATCTAGACACTGTTCCCTGCATGTAGTTTTTTTAAACTAGATTTTTAATTGTTTTATTTGCAATAATAAACTGGATTACTCCCAACATGGAAGGTATCTGATTTAACTTGATTATTCTGTTGTTTAAAGCATTCAGCTGGTCAAGGCATGAAATAGCTCCTGTTTTCTACTCTGCCAATCTCTTCCACTGGGAAGGAAGCACTCTCCCAATCTCAATATATTATGTTTTGCATCACAAGTTATAAACAATGTTCTATACACAGTATTAAGGAAATTCAGTGGACATGAAAAACCATAGTCAGATAAAAGTTATTTCAATTAGGGGAGGTGACAGCCTAGTGGTATTATCTAATAACTCAAATAATGTTCTGGGATTCCATAGCAGATGATGAAATTTGAATTCAATAAAATAATCTGGAATTCACAGTCTAATGATGACCACAAATCCATAGCTGATTAGCAAACCAAATGGGTTTTTCGTGACAATGTCCTCTAAGGGAGGAAACTCCCATCCTTAGCAGGTCTGGCCTACATATGACTCCAGATCCAAGATGTTGGTGACTCAGCTGCCCTCTGGGCAATTAGGGATTGCAATAAATGCTAACCAAGCCGGTGATGCTCACATCCCACGAATGAATTTTAAAAGAAGTGCGTTAAGGGCAAGAGGATAACTAGGTTAGGGCATACAAGATACACAAAGTAACTTATGGATGCAAATGATGTAAACACAGTTCCGAACAAGTACCGTGTGTGTGTCTCTCTCTCTTGACTGTTCACAACAGAGGAGTGATGCAAACATTCTAGTTAAAAAGGAATGGAATGTGGCAAGTTGAATTCAAAGTTAGTCAGTGACAGGAAACAGAGTAATGGTCAATGGATGTCTTCACAAATAGAAAGTGATTTCCAGTGGCATTCAACAATTTTTGGGTTCATTGCTGTCTGTGAATGGACTTAAGTGCGAGGTATGATTGGAAAATTTGAAGATGACACAAAAATTGACTGGATAGGTAATGATGGAGGATGGCTGGTGAATGTAGAATGTAGAATGACATCAATGGTTTAATTAAGTGGGAAGAAAAGTGACAAGTGGAATTCAATCTAGAGTAATAAGTTTGTAGAGGGTAAACCAGCAAAGGAATGCACAATAAAAGGGATGACAGTAGAGGATGTAAGCAATCTTGGTCTGCACGTCCAAAGATTCTTGAAGATGGTGGGACAGCTGGATAAAGTAGTAAAGAAAGCATATGCAATAAAGAAAAGCTTTCCCTAAGTTTACAGAATTCAAAAGCACAGATGCAAGGAATGCTGGAACTGCATAAAATACTAGTTAGGCCACAGCTGGAATTTCTGCCTACAGTTCATTTACAGGAAGGACAGAGAGGAAAAATTTACAAGAACATTTCAGGGCTTGTTCAATGCAATGATGGGGACTGTTTGGGTAGGCCAGGATTGCTTTCCTACACACAGGAGACTGAGGAGGGGACAACTGAGGTGCACAAAACAATAAGGCACTTAGGAAACATTTGGTCCTTGCAGCAGCCAGGCTAATTAGCAGGCTGTGGGAGGGGGAAATGTGAATGGAATCAAGAGGAATAAACATTTCCACCCAGGTGGTGGTGGATGCCTGGAATGCGTAGTCTGATTTGATACTTGATGACTGGCCTTTCTCACGTTCTCCACCTGGGTTGGTTATCAGAAATGAATTATAGCACTATCTACAATTGAGGTTGATTTCTGCACTAACTCGCAAATGAGTGCACCAAAGCAAAAAGCTTGGCTAAAGGCATAGTGCAAAATTTGTACCAGAAAGGAAAGATGTAGCATTGTACAGCCAGACCTTTTGCAACTCTACACCCATCACTGATTTCTACAGTTAGCCAATCGCACAGGCCAGAGCAGGAGGCTTTCGGCACATGGCCTGCACTGTGAAGGAATCGGCCAGGTTTTGATACTTGGATCATTACTTACAATATACATTAATCACGTAGATGGGGGAAGTGAATGTGCTATAGCTAAGTTTGCAAATGACACAAAAAATACATAGTGAGAATGACAACTTGCCTTCCAAAGTGTCTGCAGAGGGAAACGAGCAAGTTGAGTGGGCAAAAACTAGGCAGATGGAATATGTGGAAAATTAGCCATGCAAGAAAAGCTTATCGCATCCAGCTGTGAATGGAAGGCCAGAGGGACACATTAAAGAAAATGAAATGATGTGGTCATCTTTCGATCTGATGAGGATGAAGTTTTCTCTGAAAGCAAACTGGTCTTCCTTGGTCAGCAGTGGCTCAGTTTTTTTTTAGAAAGATACAGACTTGGGAGACTCTACTGCTGCTAAAGTAAAAAAAACTGAGAAATGTTTTCAAATAGAACAAATGCTGAATGAGTGCAGGTAATTGAATCAACAAGTTTGCCGAATGCAGCGGTAGCTGGAGGATTAATCAGGTTCACTCCTTGGAAAATGTCCCAAAAACAGCAGCTCCTTGGAAAGCGTTCATCTCCTTATTACCTCCAACAAGCAAACAAACCTAACTGTCAAGTCACAAACCATAGATGACTTGGAGGAAAAAAAATGACTATCCTGAGAAAGCTTCACAACAAGTTTCCAAATTTAGACAAAGAGAAACTGTGGGAAGTCTTGGAAGAATGCAACGTGTCCCAATGGGAAACCTTAGACAATTTGTCATTTAGCAATCAAGATGAAGTGCCTTATAGACTCTGGCATACAAGCATAAATGGAAAAAGGTGCCACTTCACATTTTAAAGAGCATCCATGAGGTAAAAATAGGGAGGTCTTGCTAAGACTATACAAGGTACCAATTAGACCAGAACTGGAATACTGAAGAGTTTTGAATGCCTTATCGAAGGAAAGATATACTTGCATTGGCAACAGTCCAGACAAAGTTCACATGGCTGATATCAGTTATGGGGGGACTGTCATCTATAGAAACATGGAGTAGACCGGCTTGTACTCATTCAAGTTTAGAAGACTAAGAAGCAACCTCTTGAAACAAGATTCTTGGAAGACTTTACAGAGTAGATGTGGACAGGCTGTTTCTCATGAGGGAGAAACTAGGACCGGAGGGCATAATCTCAGTAAATTTAGGACAGTAATGAGGAGGAACATCTGAGCTTAGAGAATCTGTGGAATTCCTAAGGGTTGTCGAGTCTGGGAAGTATATTCCAGGTTGATGGACAGATTTTTAATCAAGAAGAGATTCAAGGCGTCTGGAGAAAAGACAGGAAAGTGGAATGAAGATTATCATATCAGCCATGATCTTGCCAAATGACAGAGCAGATTCAATAGGGTCAAATGGCCTACTTCTACATTTATTATTCAGCAAATAGTATTATAAATTGAGTCTGTTGGACCAGGAAGGCATTGTATTCAGCTTTACAGGAGTTTGCTGATACATTCTTTAGTGGTACTGGGAGAACTTGTGGCCTGGCACAGCAAGGAGAAAATTTGAAACTGTTTTTCTTATTTTTCCAAGGTCAAATTCTCTCAGATCCTCAACAACAGTACTCAGCTATCCTCAAAATGCACGTGATGACTCTCGCTTACACATTAGCAATCAAGTAACATTTTTTTCTCAAGTCAACATGAGAAATGGGAGAACCAATCTGCATCCCTCCCTCAAAATAACATTGAAGGTCGATGCCCTAGGAGATTCCAGTGTTCAACATCCAGCTGCCATGAGCCCAAGTCCAGGTTTGACCAGGACAAGTTGAGCATGTTTCACTGCATGACGCGTGCATGTTGTACACACTGGTTGTCTGAAATGGAGAAATTCTGATGACAAACATCCTTCACTCAAATGAGCAGACCAAGAGAAGAAAAACTCAGGCAATGTAGCAGGTGGATTCTGGGATGGATTGTGAATGAGGTCATCATATGGAAGGATCAGCCTTGAGGCAGATAATGCTGAACAATTAACACAGGCTGGTTCTGAGCATGCTTCAACAAGTTTTAGGTATGAATTCATCTCCCAATTATAGCCTCCTTAAAATAAAGCTGAATGTGAGCTACATAAAATTAAAAGTACAGATTGATGGATTAATGAAGTTTTCTTTTAAAAAGATGGATAAATGGATTCAGAACCAACCAGGGTTATACCACAAACACATTCCTAAGCTTTAGTGTCTAAAGGCAATAAACAAAGAGGAGGTTGCTGCATGACATGGGTTTTAATGCATTAACTACAATATGCTTACATACAAGAGAGTGTTAAGTGGCAGAACTAGAGCCAAGGAAACTACAAAGACTACAAAATACAACACATGGACCAATACATTTACAAAACAACATTCAAAATCCTTACAAAATGGCCTGTATTGGTCCTTGGTTTCTTTTTTACAAACTTAATCGACTCCGTGCCGCAAAACTGGCTCTTTTTATCCCACAATTTACAGAATTCAGGGAGAACCTCTTGTTTTCCTTCGCATTAACATGGTGTATGCTGCACTCAGCCTGGGACACACCCTCTTGGTTTATGGGCAGAAGGAGCTGCTCATCTTAAAGACCAAAACTTTAGAAATTAAAAAAAAACTTTTGCAAACCATACTGCATCTCCATACCACTCTGCTGGAGAATATTTTCTTTCTCTCTATATATTAGAAAGAGGACAAATAAAAATTGATATTGCTCTTCACCAAAACCACCCACCCCTCTCCCGAATCAAAATAGGGAAAATTGCTTCAAATGAAGAGCAGCTCCTGGATGAATTTGGGACGATGGGGTGAGGTGAGGGGGAAATCTGTCCCAGACACGCTTCAATTGTCATCAGCTGCCAACAGGAATAACTGGGTAAAAGTCAGTTTAATACAATTTGCACAGATGGAGATAGTCCAGTTTAAGGTTGCACTCCCTTTTATTTACATTGTTTTTTTTATATCATTTCAAATGATATTCACAGCATTTGTTTTTTTTTTGGCCAAGTGACAAATGAAAATAAAACATGTCCAACATGAAGTCAGTGCTTCACCGACCACTGTTCCTATGTCTGACTCATGCAGCTGACTGCGTCGGATTGGAAGAACCAACAAGTTACACGACCAATGTCAGTTTCAAGAAAAACACAGGCTGCCCCTCACTCTTTTCCATGTTGCATGTCCAAGGTGGCATTTCTTCATTGTTTTAACTGGCGCCAGTGCCTTCCATTACTTGTTGTGCCTGTTTCTGTCCCATACAGCACTGAGCTACAGACTGGAACAACCTGCAAAACACACAGCAGCCAAGCATTACGCAGAAGTTACTGACAAACCCAAATAAAAAGTGAGCTCAGGAAAATGCTTTACAGCCAATGCTGCACTTCTGAAGGGTAGTCAATGTTGGAAACAGGGCAGCCATTTAAATGCACATCAAGATCCAAAAAAAACCCCAGCATTGAAACAAACGAATAGAATGTGTTCATTGAGGGATAAACACTGACCAAGACACCAAGAGAACCCCCCTGCTTTTCTTCAAATAATGCCATGGAAAAGCCTGCATTATTTGAGGAGATCAGACAAGGTTCTGGATTAAATCAGAGCTGAAAGGTCCAACATCTGACACTGCGGCAGTTCCTCAGCACAATACTGGAGAGTCAGCCTTGATTATACACTTGCACCTCTGTTGTGGGACCTGAACCCACAACTGGAGACTGAGGAGTCCTATCACAATACCACTGCAAGTGTGTAAAAAGTTGCTAATCATCAATATACATTTCATACAGTATTACAATCTTTAACATGCCATTATAGGGGGTGGTGCATTACAAGCAACTCACATGTTTGTGTGATACACTAACAGGCATAATATTTGGGTGAGTGTGTAGCAGTAACTGCCTATACAATATAATTTCTGGAATGAAATTAGGGGCGACACGGTGGCACAGTGGTTAGCACTGCTGCCTCACAGCGCCAGGGACCTGGGTTCGATTCCAGCCTCGGGCGACTGTCTGTGTGGAGTTTGCACATTCTCCCCGTGTCTGTGTGGGTTTTCTCCGGGTGCTCCGGTTTCCTCCCACAGTCCAAAGATGTGCAGGTTAGGCGGATTGGCCATGCTAAATTGCCTGTAGTGTTCAGGGAGGTAGAGGGTGTATATTAGGTGGGTCATAGGGGGATGGATCTGGGTGGGATGCTCTGAGGTTCGGTGTGGACTTGTTGGGCCGAAGGGCCTGTTTCCACACTGTAGGGATTCTAATTCTGAACGAAAACCAGTGGCTAAGGTTCCTGCTCTTCAATGTTAACTCAGAGGAAGGTGTGCATGTACAAAGGAACAGGGACCATGGCCAATGCCCCCTACACTGGGTCACACTAGATGGAATTTTTCGATCATTATTTAGTTACATAAGGGAACAACTGAAGAAAGAAACTGAAATAAAATATTCTTTTAAGATGACCAATTCACTGAACTGACTTATCAAAGATGCAGTTTGGCATTTCAATAGTTGAGGAGAAAAGGAAACATATGAAAAGGTCAGAAGTAAAACTGGAAAGGAATTAGAACCGGATAACCTGTAAAGAAGTAAACCATAACACAAAGTGTTGAACAGTCCGACTGCTCCACCTGCACAGTGCTCCCTGGCACTGCGTGGACTCTCAGCATTTCTGAAGGCAACCTGATGCTTGAAACAAGAAAATTCTCAACTAAGAACTAGTTTGGTTCAAGAGCATACCTGGGGCTCGGGTCAGATATTTGGAGAGAGGTATAAGCTGCAACCTACAGAAGCAAAAGACAAACTCTCTCAATAATAACGAAAGATCTGACATCAGAGGAGGATTCAAGGAAATAATAATGCAACCAAAAACACTTACTTTTCAATCTCAGGAGCACAGTGGACAAACTCGTGGTTCCAGAATTTGAAGGCGGGGTTTTTAATCAGCTCAATGAAGGTGATGAGGAGCCCCCACGGGTGAGGCCTGTTTACAATCAGCCTCTCCAATAGCACCCTGTCAGAAACCGAAAAGCAGCAGCGTCACAATTCAAGCCTCTGATTTTCATCACTACTTATTGGTCATTTGAATCAAGACAGGAAATGCAGACAGTAAAATCTTACTTGTTAACTTGATGAAATTTTGCATATTAAACTCAAAACAACGCAGGCTGTAGCTGCTTTCTGTAAAGATTAACTGTTACTCCCCATTCCAAGTAAATTCATTCCCTCTTTGGTTACGATACTAACTTTATCTGTAATACTGACAACCCAAATTCAGGATAAATGTGTTGCAGTACACCGAACAGAGGTTTACAATCAATTCCAAACAACAATATAAAATAAAAGAGACCACATTATCAGGTAGCATTGACGAAAGACAGAGGTGCAAAAGTTGAGGGGTGACATCCTTGTTTCTCACCTGGTAATCTGCTCCTGGATAGCTTCTGTGTTGGCTTCAGCAAACAGATACAACATAGTGCAGCTGAAATAGTGGGTGTGGCTGTTTGGGTATCGCAACTGATTGGCAATCGCATTCAGGAACAAATACCGACCTGAAACATGGGGAAAAACAAAAAAGTGATCATCCCGGGTGGTCAGGAGATGAGCAATTTAAAACCCTGACTGAAAAACACTCAGAATGCGAGCAAAACACCTCCATTGCCGTGCCTGCTTAACACACTGGCATTTAATCCCCCAGTGAGATGAATACAAGCAAGACAATATTTGGCTTCATTATCAAAAAAAAAAACACTTCAGACACAGAAGACAGTGGCTCAGTGGTTAGCACTGCTGCCTCATAGCACCAGCGACTCTGCATTCGATTCCACCCCTGGGAGACTGTGTGGAGTTTGCACATTCTCCCCGTGTCTGTGTGCGTTTCCTCCGGGTGCTCCGGTTTCCTCTACAGTCCAAAGATGTGCAGGCTAGGTGGATTGGCCATGCTAAATTGCCCAGAGTGTTCAAGGTTGTGTAGATTAGGTGGGTTATAGGGGGATGGGTCTGGATGGGATGCTCTGAGGGTTGGTGTGGACTTGTTGGGCTGAAGGGCCTGTTTCCACATTGTAGGGATTCTATGAAATCTATGAAACATGATGGATCATTCTCTCAGGTCACCATCATACCAACTGTTCGGTTCAAGATGATATTAACCAATTCCCAACCAAATGGCCATGACTGACAATCACAAGTGGTAGTTCTCTGGGGAAGAGCGCACAAGGAGGGAAAAACAGATCCCCTGAGTTATATCAGTTTTCATTTTCTTGGATACAGGCTATTGGTGAGAAAGGGCCAAGAGGAGATTGTATCTCCTGCTTGAATCTTCTCTAACGGTGCAGACTCATGCTGGGTTTCACACGCTGGAAAGTGGTCAGTTTTCAGACAGACAGACAGTCGGGTCACCAGCAGTAACCCGTTTGATTGTGGGGGTGGGGTGGTGATGGTGGAGAGCAAGTCCACTTGCGAACTCCCCAGATGGAGGCACGAGTTGTCAGAATGACAGCCTGCAGTGTGACAAGCAGGCAAAACTATCACCGCTGATCAGGCCACACATTTACTAGGTACAGGCAAAAAAACCCCCTGAATTGTGTATACCATCTTTAAGATATGAAAACTCTTCCAGAGAGGGATGATAGAGATAGGAATCCTTTCTGAGGGTTATGCATCAAAAGGAGAATGAGCATGAATGGAGGGAAGTTTCAGACAGTGAGGACAGGCATAATTTTTCAGAAATAGATCTTTCCACCCTCTAACTTACAAGCTGAGGTCAACTGCAACATTTCCACTACTGCCCGAGCAGTTGAACAACGCTTACAAAATAAGCCAGAGGGCTTTCTATTGAAAAGATTGGCGCTCCTCTTGATCTTTATTATGTAACAGAGGATGATGAGCACAAACTGCAAAATCTAAAAGCACAAAGCTGACCAGTGCCTTACCTTCTGTGTCGAGGTCGACAGCCAGGTTCTGGAAGATGTCCATGTGGGCAGAGTGTGTGATCGTGCTCATGGATGGCGTGCTGCCCTTGTTATGGATGTGAGCAATCGCCTGCGTTCCCACATACAACACCAGGGCATTTATTAGCTGGATGTTATACCGATTGCCGGGTTCATTTGATACCTGTAATACAAAG